CGGACGTCCTTGAGGACAGGCAGGAGGAGTTCCAGTGTCTGGCCGCCGCTTCACCTCATCTCGCGTCTGTACTGCTAGCCCCTGAGGAAGACCCGGATGCATTAGACATCCCGACTCTGCGCTCTTACGCGGAGGCGATAGAGGGTCTCTACTCCTCTCAGTGGCAGGCAGCTATGGATGCAGAGATGGCTTCCTGGAAGTCCACAGGCACCTACGTCGACGCTCTTCCCCCTCCTGGGGCGAACATCGTCAGTGGCATGTGGATTTTCAGGGTGAAGCGGCCGCCGTGTTCTCCGCCTGTCTTCAAGGCGCGTTACGTGGCTCGTGGCTTCAGTCAGCGGCAGGGGGTTGACTACTTTCAGACCTTCTCCCCCACCCCGAAGATGACCACTCTTCGGGTACTGCTGCACGTTGCTGCTCACCGTGACTACGAGCTCCACTCTCTCGACTTCAGCACAGCTTTCTTGCAGGGCAGCTTGCACGAGGAGATCTGGCTGCGTCGCCCACCTGGCTTCACTGGGTCTTTCCCTCCTGGTACCCAGTGGAGTCTCCGGCGTCCAGTCTACGGTCTCCGCCAGGCGCCACGTGAGTGGCACGACACACTGAGGACTACGCTTGCGGCACTTGGGTTTGCTCCTTCTACTGCTGACCCGTCGCTGTTTCTGCGCACCGACACCTCTCTGCCGCCGTTCTACATCCTCGTGTACGTCGACGACTTGGTCTTTGCCACAGCGGACACTGCTGGACTCGCTTACGTGAAGTCCGAGCTGCAGAAGAGACACACGTGCACTGACCTGGGTGAACTGCGCAGCTACCTTGGCTTGCAGATCACCCGGGACAGAGCACGCCGCACCATTACCCTGACTCAGTCACACATGGTGCAGCAGGTCCTTCAGCGCTTCGGCTTCACGTACTCCTCGCCTCAGGCCACTCCTCTGCCTACTCGCCACTCGCTCTCAGCTCTGCCTTCGGATGAGTCCGTAGAGTCGAGTGGCCCGTATGCAGAGCTTGTTGGCTGCCTCATGTACCTGATGACCTGCACACGACCTGACCTTGCATACCCTCTCAGCATTCTCGCACGCTATGTTGCTCCTGGGAGACACCGACCAGAGCACATGGATGCAGCGAAGAGGGTGTTGCGCTACTTGTGCAGTACGTCGGGCATGGGGCTAGTGCTTGGAGGGCGCAGTCCAGTGGTCCTCACTGGGCACGCGGACGCTTCTTGGGCTGACGACCAGGCTACGCAGCGGTCGTCACAGGGTTACACCTTCGGCCTTGGTTCCGGCTGTGTCTCGTGGCGAGCTACTCGCTCGTCTTCTGTTCTTGTCTTGTGAGGCTGAGATCTACGCCGGGGCCATGGCTGCTCAGGAGCTTCGCTGGCTCACCTACCTGCTGACCGACCTTGGAGAGCCGCCTCGTTCTCCTCCAGTCCTGTACGTAGACAACAAGGCCATGCTGGCCTTGTGTCGAGAGCAGCGACTGGAGCACAGGACAAAGCACATTGCTCTCCACTACTTTCTTGCTCGTGAGCTGCAGCAGCGTGGACAGTTGCGACTTGCGTACGTGGCCTCTGAGGCCAACATTGCTGATGTCTTCACCAAGGCACTTGCTCCTTGTGATCATCAGCGTTGCTGCACGCAGCTGGGTCTTGTACCTGTCTTGCCTCACTGGCTCACTTCTTGACCTTGCTTGTACCTTGACCTATATATACTCTTGCTCTTGCTTGCTTGACTCTTGTATATCTCTATATATGATCTTGCATGCGAACTGGCCTTGTGGCCCTTGACCTTGCGCTCGGAATGTGTGGTGACTTTGTGATCCACCCTGAGCTTTGCTTTGCTTTGCTTTGCTTGACTGGTCTTGTGACCCCTTGTTCTCCCCCACTTTGCCTATGGGGGTGTGTCAGAACATTATAGCTTACTTATTTGTGTAGGCTATAGTGGGGTATCCCATAGGGGGTACAACCCAATTAGGGTTTCATATTTGTACTCACTTCATGCATAGTTCATTCATTCTCGTTCGCTTCTTCTCATAACGCATGTGATAGGACCTTCTTTGGTCCGCTGCGGCTACACTAAGCGTCCCGGTCAGTATAACATATGCCAGTCTAACGAGAATAAGGGTGTACCGAGTTTCCCACCCCTTCCAAGCTCGAAAGTCCAGTGTACTCTCGGAAGGTTTATGGACCGTACGGAACTTGCAAGATTCGTTGCTGTCTATGGGTGCTTAATTCACGACTCTTACCAGAGACCTGCTTTCAGTTTAGTAAAATTGGTTAGTGTGTGTGGATAGGAAACCGAGTGTGGCAGGAAGAACTCACCAGCCCCATCTGCTTGGATGACTGGACTCGACTTTTTCCATCCTTTTCTGACATTCCCGGGAAAATTCAGAGACCGACTTGCAGCACGACGTTGCAAAATAGACAAGCTGGGTAAACGAAGGACATCATCGGCTGGGCAGCTCGTCAAACCTCTTGATGATCCCAGCCGTCGCTTTCTTCCAAGTTGCGTCTAACCCTTGATCAATCTGTTCAGTACGCCCTCGATAACGCCTGTAAGGGCGGGTAAAAAAGTACGTCCGATTGCGGTTCAAAAAGGTTAAGGCTTTATACAGAGCGGTCGTTTGAAACACGAGTTGGTTGGGTAGGGTTTTCTGCGAAAACGTTCAAAGTTTGACCCGCCCTAAGGCGTCCATACCCAGAGGGAGTTTTTCTGGTGTGGGCTTTGGCGAGAGTTTCCGATTTCGTCAAGGTTCGTTTTTTTCACGAGACCCAGCCAACCCTCGGTTTTCCCCCTGGTGAGTGAATCTGTCTTCGTGAGTCCCAAATTGCAAGTGCGTGACTTTCAAAAGCTTGGACACTCAACTTCGTCAAGTTTTAACAACTTGACCCTCGCGGCCCGCAATTTAGAACGCGGGCTTTAATAGTTTCCCGACAAGATCCGAACACAAATTTGAAACCCTGGTGAATGTGAGAGCTCGTGACCAGAGGTGACAGCCTGTTCGAACATGCGACGTCGCCAAGTATTGGGCGACTTCACAAAACGTTGCATGATTTTTTTTTTAATTTTTTTTTTCCATTCGCCTGCCATTCCTGTTTGGCGCATTTTTCGTCCATCCAGTCAAATTTCTCTTCGTGCTCTACTACTACTGCTCACCTTTTTGTTTCCCAGCAACAATGCCCTTTTCGATGCACTGCGACAGTTTCTGGTGAACAAACGAATTCGCCTGCGACTAGGTGGGGTGTTGTCCAATCAGACGTGTCGTCCGTGCTGGGTGGGGCACGCCTATCATTCTGTGTTCGAACAAGGCTGCTCGAACATGTAACACATGCCTGATGTGACAGCGTTGTTCGGATTGGCGAAACTTAGGGTTAGCGACATCGCTAAGGTCCCTACGAATTTTGGCTTGTAACACTCCGCCTGTCCGAACAAGGGGCTTGTTCGAACTGGGAGGTGAAACGCTCTTATCACTCTTCGGACTCGGCCTTGAACTCCCAGAGTGACCAGGCTTGCACTCCAGATATTCAGAGTTTCTGTAGTCCACATGGACAGCAAGACAGCATGGTATATCTCAACGCCCCGACTACATCCGGGTGCAAAAACGACGCGGCTCGGGAAAGGGATCCGCCACCCTGCGTCATCCTGTCCGGCTAACTGAGTGCACGTCCTGGGCGAGGAGCGTCACCCTGCGTCACCCGGCAATCCCGATGAAAAATACCCCGATAGCACCTCTCAACGGACCCTCCGTACGAGGTCGACACGTCGACGACGCCGGTCGCGGCCAGCGTGCCACGACGTCCACCTAGCCATCGGCGCGGACTGCGACGTGAGGCCCACCGCGATTTCTGGCCGACCACTGTGCTGGCGCGCAGAGCCACACGTCGCCCATCCGAAACACAACATTCCACGCGGCGAACATCGATCGACAAACGTCTGTCCACGCGGCGATCAAGCCTTCGCCAGCCTGCTGGCGGGAACGTCCCCGCGGGATACCATCGTCGGGCGACGCGATGAGCACTGCTGCGTCACGCCGACGTGTAAGCACGGTTCACCGTGACGGGAACACCAGACAGTCGGCTGCGAAAAAGACATGAGTGCCCCGTGCCACGTCGACCATTGCGCCGCCGTGCCGTTCTGCCTTGCATGCAGAGTTGGAGACCTACCCACGGATCGCCCGCCAACACCTGTCCGCCTGAACCGCGACTGTGCCTCTCTATGCTATGACCCCATGACGGCCAAGTGTCCATGGCATTTCGACACTTGTTTGTTGCGTTGCATTCATTTCCATTCTGGTGAGCCACATTTCCCTTACTCATTTTCACGCTTCTCGGAGACCGACCGACCACGCGTGGTGCAGGGTTGACGACGAGCCACGCCGATGTGGAGTGCGTTTAGGTCGGCAAACTTTACGGGCTTCCGACTTAGGATCATTCCGACTAGGACGACTAACTAGGTCGACAACAACCGAAAGTCGCCGACCTCTTTCTTCAAACCCACAACCAGTATTGTCATCGGCGGTGATCCCCCGTGCGGCCTCGAATGGTCAGGGACCAGTCTAACAACATCCCGCCGGACAACACCCCGCCGAACGATACATTGCCACTTCACACCCCGCCGACCATTGTGCCGCCGACCACGGCCACTCCGAACATCACCCAGCAGAACACCAATCCGCCGCCCTTACTTCCCGAAATTCCCGAACTGACCGACATTGCCGCGGAGTTGACGATCGCCGAGAACGTTGAGAGGGCCGAAAGACGGGCGGCCTTTAGGGCCACGGTGCGAAGGCAATACACGGCAGCGATTGTGCAGTATCGACTTTGGTGGGCTGAGCACGTACCGCCGCGAGATCGCGGCGACAACTAGAGGCCGACGGGAACAACTCTACCCGCCGAGATGGCTGGCGTCGCGCCGCCGGCGGGGAGCAGCGCGATTCCTGACCTGAACGAGCCTTTCATGGAGGAAGATGTACACACCGCTAGGGAAAATATTCCCGCCGACATGGTGGTCGACGTAGATGCCGCTAGGGCGAAAATTCCCGCCGACCCGACCATCCCCCTACCGCCAGGGACGAAAGGGGCTCCCGAACCCGAGCCGGACCGGTACTCGCCGCGTTTGGACACGGAGCAGCCGCCGCCAATTGGACCATTTCCAGAAAACGACTACATGTATCTGACCGTAGAGGACTTGTTGGCAGCCGACGAGAAAGATGACGCCTTCCTGCAAAACATTCAGCGCGACGATTTTGCGGAAGCCGCCTTCGACATCAACAAAGAGCTCGCCAAGAAGAACAGATTGCTGAGGATGATGTGGGGTTTCCGACATCTGGACACGCTGGAGGCGAGAACGACCCGGATTCAGTACCTGCGGGCGCTGCTCGACTTCAGGAGATGGTGCTGCGCGAACCTTCCAAGACAGCAAACCGCCAGAGTCAAGGGGGACGGCGTGCTAGAACACGAGAACGAGATAGGGAGGTACATCGACGAAGACATGGGTGATCAGTGGCACACCGCCAAGGGCGACCTACAATGGATGCACGGTCCCCGCGTCAACGCCACGCGGATCAGGGCGTACATTCTGTCAATCGCGAGGCAGGAAGGTATTGCAAAGGCCGAGAAGCTCGAGGAGCTGAATCCCGACGTCCGTGTCCAGCCCCTGAAGCCGACAACCGTTTCGATGCTGCTCATCCGCATCAAAGCGCTCCAGACAGCCTGCAAGGTCGAGGGGACGCTCTTCGGGGTGAAGGAGCTCCACATCATGTACGACATCTCCGAGGTCCGCTCGGAGGTGCGCGCGATGGTCAGAGAGAAGTGGCACAGGGACAACAGGTAAGTCGGCAAGTCGTCCCGCGCGGTTCACGCCTGTTTCCCGGTTCGCCCAGCTAACCCAGTCCTCGTGGAAACTGATGTGCAGGGATTGCGTCGACCGGCACCGCGGAACGCTCGGCGACACGTACACCACCGACCAGATCCGCCACCTCATGTTCAAGGTCTTGCCGACCTGGGTAGCTCGGCCGTACGAACCCAAGGCGGCCACCCCCTCCCAGACACTGTGGAAGTTTCTGCTGATGAAGACAATGACCCTCTTGGGTCACCACACCCTTCTCCGTGGAGGCAGTCTCCGAGCGATCGAGCTCCCCGACCTGTTTTTGTACAGAATGGGGAACGCGTCGCCCGAGCACTCCACGCGACGGCCGGTTGTCATGGTCGCCGCGTCACGAAACTCCAAGACGAACAAGGATGCTCGTCTGCATCACAGCTACGCGGCGAGACACTTGGAGCAAGAGATGTGCGCCGACGGTCACACACTGTTGTGGCTGCACTTCGTGTACGACCAGCTGAACCGCTCGCCCATCTCTCGATGTGTGCCGCCCCTCGACTTCACAACTCCGTACAGCTGGTATCACAAGCACCTCTTTCATGCTCGGAACGACAAGGTACAAAAAGAGTTGCCGGCTTCATCTCATTCTCGGATCACGAAAGAGATGTGGCGGACGAACAAGATCTTCATCACGCGCAACACCCACGCCGCCCGGGCGGGTGGGGCACAGGAGCTGGCCGACGACGGCGTTCCGCGATCTGACATCGCCGACTTGGGCCACTGGGCGCTCGACAAGCTTGTGAAGAGCTACATCACGACCATCCCGAAGGCGGCGGTGTTGAGAAAGGCCGGCTACACGGGCAAGCGCGGCGACTACCACCTCGGCCGGAGCATGGTGAAGCCCGACGACAAGGTGGTGGCCCTCATCGCCCAGCACATCTTTCCGTGGGCGGAAGCGGAACTGGCCAAGGTGAGCATTTCGGACGGCAAAAACGCCGACAACCCGCCGACCATTTCCACGACGACATTCTACCGACGGCTGATTGTGTTTGTGTTTGTGTTCGACTCGCAGGCGGTAAGGTGCGCATCCGCGAGAGAGCCCAACACGGCCGGGGTGCACTTCTTGCAATCGCTCATCAAGTTCGGCCGCCGAATCGTTGCCGAGGATCTTGCGTGCATGCTGATGCGCGAACCGTGGCACCCGTACGTCTAGAGTTCCAAGCTCTGCCGCGACCCCGACTTCCAGAAATGGGCCAAGGACGTCAACCAGGTGGACCTCGAAACCATCGCGACGCGCAGTACTCCGAGCGAGAACCCCCAAGAGGTACGGAGTGCGCGTTCCGGCGACCTGTAAAACAAGTCGTCCTGCCACATTGCCTCACCTTTTGCCGACCATCCCCCTTGGATCGCAGGAATTCAGCGCGCGAGTTGACGCCGAATATCAGGTCGACCAGCTCACCATGATGCTGCACCGCCAGAGGGAGGATGCCGCGATCGAGAAGCTTGAAATGCAGAAGAAGTTGGAGGAGAAGGAGGCGGAGATCGCGAAGTTGATGCAGGCTCTCAAGCTGGCTGAGGCACGGCCGACGCCGACTGCGCCGGCACCGTCAAGGCCGATGACCGCCGCCGAGAAGGCAGCGTCCGTCAAGACCGAGAAGGAACAGAACGATGACCTGACGTACGAGGTCAACGTCGTGCATCCCTGGCGCACATCCAAGACGGTCGAGGCTGCATGGCGCTGGTGGAACAACCCGTCCAACTTCGACTCGCGTCCGTTGCGCGAACGTTACGACGAGCACAGATTCCTCGTCAGACACACGCGCATGATCTGCAAGGTCGAAAAGGGTGACAAACCCGCTGCGCCGGCGAAGTCGGCAAAGAGCTCTCGTCCCAGGACCGAGGTGGGTGAGACGGGAAAAACGATGCGCTGCAGCACTGCGCTCGCCGGATGAGGCGGATCATGGAAGCGGTGCACGACTTGCGGCGGAGCGACGACGCCGCTGACACCGCCGCCGTCATCAAGCTACTCGACCACCTGGGGCGAACGGGGCTTTCCACTTTCAGCGACGCGCTCTTGGTCCTTCGTGCAGCCCCGCCCATCAAGGTCCCCACCACAGCCGACGGAAAGTCGGTCGGCATCAAGGGTCTGGACAAGCCGCTGGCGAGGAAGCTCGCCGTTGCGTGGGGCGTGGTCACGGCGGGCTACATGGACGCTGACTGGGGAAAGAGGCTCTTCGGCGACTTGTGGGATGAGCAGGCCAATAAGGCCGGCTTGGAGGCCGAGGCGACGACGGGAGCCATTGGCGCAGGGAAGCGCAAGAGGGCGGGTTGAGGGTACTGCGTCTGGGTCCGACTTGTGCTGCTGGCTGGGCGTGGTGTGACTGAGGGTGGGTTGAGGGCGGGCCGAGGGCGGGCTGAGGGCAGGCTGAGAGTGGGCTGGGGGTGTGCTGAGCGTGTCCGACCTGTTCTAGTGATCCTATATGGTTTTCCTTTACTGCCAACGTTGTTTCGACTTGTAAATTTGTAAATTAGTAGAAGTTTGTCTCTTGTTCATGCATCAAATCGACTCCACACCACAGAAACTACTTCACAACGTTTCTGAAAAACTACCGACGAACAAGTTCAGCATCCCTAAGCCGGAGAACAAAACAACAAAACAGCACCCGGAACCGGACACGTCGACCATGTCACGAGCGGTCGGGCCAGCGTTTGTAGGTCTTCTTCAGAAAGCCTGCAGCGTTTGCACCCACGCCGACCATGCTACGAGTAGGCGGGTCAGCCTTCGTTGACCTAGGCGTCGGCGACCTGCTTCCCTTTGTGCTGCTGCCCCCTCGTCCCCCTGTCCCGAATGATAATCTTCATCTGGGGGTCGATAGGCAAATCGACGCCGCGAGCCTTGAGCTTCGGGCCTCCGACATCGCAGTCCCCCCAGAAGGCGAGGTTCTCTATCATGACACGGGCGATCAGCTCGTCGTGCTCGCGCTCCTCTCCGACCTCAGGCAGCGACCTCACCACAGCCGCCTGCAGGTCCTTCGTCACCGTTTCGGCGACCTCCCCTACGACGACCACCCGGGAGGCCGCCCGCTGAAGCACCGCCTCGATGACGGTCCGACACCGACTCGCGAACTCGTTGGACGCTCCGCGCATGGTCGCTACCGCCCCCCCTTCGCCGGCAGCTACTTCCGCCGTGGCATTGGTCTCCAAAAAACACCACACCGCGGCCGCAATACCGGCGAGGATCTCGGACAACCGCTCCGACCCGACGCCCGGAATGGGCGTCACTTTCGCAGCCACCGGTGCGAAGGCGGCACACATCGAAACGCGTGCGATCATGTCGCTCGCCACCTTCTTCTTTGCGGCCTTCTCGGGCTCGGTCGACTCCGGAAGGTCGCCGAACCACACCGCCGGGCGAAGAGCCAACATGAGAGCTGCGCGGTCGGCTCCAGTTATCCTGTTGTATTCCGCGACCACTTGTTGGAACCTGCGAAACACAGCAGGAATACCCACCGTCACCGACCGCCGCGCAGGGTCGGAAGGGTTCAGGCGTCCGCGTTGACCCTTCAAATGGGCTGGCCGTCTCGGAGATGAAGTTTGGGAAGAAGAGCCGCTACATCTGCCGGTCGATGGACAAGTCCGAGGCCGCCTACTGCATCGCTGTCGCCGTTTCGTCGTTCGACGGCTTCGTCAGCGACGTGGTTCTCGAGGAGTTCGGTGGGGTCAAGGAGGAAGTGATGGCGTAGTATAAGGCGGACTGGAATGTGGCGCGATTGATTCCGGGGGGCATGTGGATGGTCATGTGGAGCCGAGGATCTCTTCGTCCACCCCGCCGGCCTCTTCCGCCGCTCTCCACACAGCCGCCTCCACCGTTGAGCCACTCGGCCCTGCAGTCGCCGCCGCGACGTTCGCTGCCTCTGCTCCTTGGTCGACCACTTGGTTGCTGTGAGTCGGAGGAATTACCGGGGTTTTCTGACCCTGATCCTCGAGCCATTTCAGATACTCGTCGAACTATGGCTTTTGAGTGACTAGAGCCTCGACCGCCCGAGACTCAACAGCCGTTGGGATCGGGATCGGTTCCGCGGCGGCCATGGCCCCATGAACGGGTAAGCTGGCCGCACCGGCAGCCTGCTGGACATGCTGTCCGACCCCCGCTGCTGGGCGCAAGAGCTCGCCGACCAGCGCCGTGACACCACCCAGTCGCGCGTCACGTGTAGTGGCAGGACTCGTCGCGGTGTGGGGATGCTGGCCCGCCGCGGCCTGCTGGACATGCTGTCCGACCACGGATGCTGGGCGCAAGAGCTCGTCGACCAGCGCCGTGGCGCCAGCCGGACGCGCGTCTTGTGCGGTCGGCGTGCTCGTCGACGGGTGAAGATGCTGGCCCGCACCGGGCGGCCCGCCCTGCTCTCCGACAACTGCTGCGGGGCGCAGGAGGTCATCGGGCAGCTGCGCTGTGACGCCGGTCGGTCGCGCAGTCGGCGTACTCGTCGAGGGTTGAACATGCTGGACCGCAACAGGCTCCCCGCGCGCTTGGCCGACCACCGCTATGACGTGCATGTCGTCTGCCATCTGGGCCGTGCCGCCGCTCGGTCGAGCGCCTTGTGCAGTCGCCGGACTGGCCTCGGGGTGTGGATGCTGGTCCGCCGTTGGCGGCCAGCCCTGCTTCGCGACCACGGATGCCTCTCCCATGAGCTCGTCGGCCAGACTCACCTGGTCGCAGCTCGGTGGCGCGTCGTGTGCGCTCGGCGGATCGGTCGGGGCCTGTGGCTGCTTGTCCCCCACGGGCTACCCACCGGTCTTCCTGACCACCGACTGAGGATCCTGGAGCGCGACGTCGATCTGTCAAAAATCTACGCTCGGTCGCGCGCCAAGTCTATCTTTCAGCAAGTCGTGGACGCCGGGGATACGAACATACGGAGGGGCAGGAGGATCCACGCCCACACCGCGTTTCACCGCAGGTCCTCTGCTTCGCTTAGAGCCGCTGTTCTGGTCGCCGGTCAGGGATTTTTTGTCGGCGACCCTTTTCCTCGACTGCCTTGGAGCCGGCCCACTCTCCTCGGCGGTTGCGCGACCGCCGTGCATCACCGACGCGAGAGCAGTTGGGAGTAGGCTAAACCCGGCGGTGCCAATGCCCTGTTGGGTCGCGGTGGTGACCACCTTCACCAGGTCGTCCCTAAGCTCTTGGACGACCTTCGAAGTCACGGCAGCAACGATCCGCTGCGCCTCGCCCTCCATGGCGGCCTTCACCTCGGCAGACACGACTGCTTTGATCTTCTGGCCAAGAGCATCTGCCACACCTCGAAGCAGCAGGAGGTCGTCCTCCCGTCGCCTACCCTGTGCAGCAGTAGCCGTCAAGTGCAGGGCCTGCACGGTGGGCAGCCACTGCGTGTTCATGAATTCTAGGGTGGAGCCGCGATAGCTCACCGCCTCCTGCACGACCGCCCTCATAGCGTCCACCGCCGTTTGGATGCTCCTCCCCGACGTGTGCTCGAGATGGGTCACGCCCTTGGCGACTATAGAGAGCTTGTTCACGGCCGAGGTGACCACGCCGTACATCGTGTCGTTCCGGGCCGTCTGGAACTCCAGCCTCTTTTCCGCCACCAGCTTCTCCTCCCTCAGCTTCTTGATCTCCCTCTCCGCCGCCTTCAGACGCTCGATAGCCGCCTTTGACGCCATCCTAGTCGGGGTCGAGCCACTGCTGCCCCGGGCCTTCTTGCCCAACTTGGGTCCGCTACCGCCGCTCTTATCCGCAACCTTCTCACCGGCGAACTGTACTGCCTCCTCTTCGCCGGTGATAGCCACGTCGTCCTCCTCACGCTCCACGTCCTCCTCTTCTTCCGAGCCACCGTCGTGCTCCCCGCCCCCCTCGACGTCCTCCCTCTCATGCTCCTCCTCCCCACCTAGAGCGATGCCGGTTCCGACGCCACGGCCCACGGTCGGCGCCGCCTCCTCTTTGTTCGACGCGGCCTTCTCCGCGTGGTGCAGCAGCTCCAGTCGTAGCGCCTTCAAGCCGACCATCTTCGGGTTCTCGACAATGAGCGGATCGTAGCTGCGATGCACGTCGTCCAGATGCTCCAACGACCACGCGAACGCGTTGACCGCCAACAGCCCCGTGCCGGCGACCTCCTCCTTGAGGATGTCGGGCAATTTCTGCATCAACATCCGAAGCACATGGCGCCGACGAAAAGGGTGAGTCGACGCCTGGACGACGATAGCCCAGGCGACAAGGCGACATGGACGTTGGAAACTCACATCACGGATGGGGGCGGCAAGACTCTCCAGACGTTCGGAGAGGACTTCGGCGGAAGGAGGCGCAGCCGTCCACTGCCTTCCCCCACGGTTCAACTCCGCCTTCACGCATTCGCCGAAAAACCTGCGCTACGAGACGGAAAAGAGCCATCAGACAAGGCGGCATGAACGCTGTTAAGGAGCGGCGCGACTAGCCGTCGACGTTGTCCCACCTCAAAACGTTGGCCGCCTCCTCCTCGTGCCGCTTGGAGGAGGTTTTGGGGTCGAGGTGGCGGTAGAGCGTCCCGATCTCCTCGTCGGGCAAAAGCAGGTCGCCAGGGCGCACAACAAGCAGGACGCTGCAATGCCTGCCGGGAAGAGGTCCGCCACTGCCCACACAAGCACGACGGAGACATTCAGGGTTCTGTCCGGGAACAACAAGCAACCCGGTCGACGTGGATCAAACCTCACGGGCGCGGAACACTCACCCGGTGCACAGGGGGATGGCGAGGGCTTCGAAGCCAAAGGCCGACCCGAAAATCAGATAGTCCGCCTTCGACGCCGTCCTGGCAGCGCGAAGACTCGCACCGCGGATCAGGATCATCCTGTCGCCTTTTCCCAGACGATCGAGCTCGTACTTGGGACAACCGGGGGCGAAAAGGCGGGAGCGAAACACTTGCGCGGTGAGCTACAATCCATGCCGGGCGCCGGGGTAAAGCGCGGACAGCAAGACAAGCGGACTCGGACCAAGGTTTCGCACGACGGCGATGTCCCCGGCAGCATGACGGACGTCACCAACGTAGGGCCAATGGTCGAGGACAGGCAAACTAGTTAATAGGACGATGCAGCGCCAAAACGTCCATCGCAGACGGTCATCGTCGACCACGCGGAAAAACGACAAGGCCAACGTCGACCTAGAAAGGACGCCGACGAAAACGCGCAGGACAAGGACGAACAACGCGACCTAGGGATGCGCGCTCACGCGAGGCCGAGGTCGAAGCAAGGTTCTGTGAACTCGGCCTTCTCGTCGCGAAGGACTTCGTAGTCCTTCATCTCAAGCGTCACCCCGTACCCACCGATGCCCACTGGCACGTGGAGGGGGAATTCAGTCGCAGGCAGTGCAATCCTACTAGTCGCCATGCTAACACCACGGTCGGTATCACGGAAGGTTTGGGGAGGAGCGCGGAGAGCTGACAGGGAGGCAGAGGAAATCGGAAAGCGAAGTTGGAAAGGAGAAATGACGGATGGAGTGGGACCCCCCATCAAGAAATGGGCGTGGGCCGTCGGTCGCCTAGTATGCAGCTCGGCGGACGAGGCAGGTCATGGCCGAGGGCGAGCCTCCGGCTTCGGCCCGTACCGGGCATGCCCTCGAGGGCGGGGTTCGGAGGGGCGAAGGTGGGTGGTTTGTGTGGGCCGTGCGTGGGGGTGGTCGGGGTGGCGAGGGCGAGCCACGTGTCCCCTCCCGAGGGGCCAGCGATGTTGACGAGGGTGGGGTTGGGCCCTTCGAATTTCGCAACCAACCCGCCTGCCAGGCGAGGGCAGCCCAAGAGGGTTACTAGGGCCTCGCGGGCAACGCGAAGCGAATGTCCGCATCCGTGAAGAGGTAACTAGGCCCCTCGTCGCTCACGCGCGAGTTCGCCACCCCTCGGCTACAACGTGGGGGGCCGGGGCGGGGGGCGTGGGCAGAGCCCCGCCCCGCGCATGCCTGGCGGGGGACTCACGCGAGGGAGTTGGCCGCCCTGACGCTCGGTCGACCGTCACCCCCCCGCGTCGTCCCAGGCAAAACGGGTGCGTCACCCCGAATTCCGATGAGCGATTCAGCATAATATAGCTCAGCCGACGAAAACTGCCGCCCATTTTCGCGGTTCAAAACGGACAACCCCCTTCCTCGTGGTTGACGACCCCACGACGACCTCCGCGTGGAAAGCCCAGCCTATCTGGCTGGGCCCGGTGCTGGTGAACCCTCGGGATGGTCGACGACCTGTCGACCTAGAGTTCCGCTGAGACAATCCCGAGAAGGACGTCTCGGCCGCGTGTCAGAATACCAGCTCGGCAAGTCGGGCCGCGATGATCGCCACGCGGCCACAAAGGGACGCCCGAGATAGTCCCCTGGATGGCGGGGCCACCGAGGTCTGCCAGGTTGGACACGACGGGCCAACGGAAGGTCGGGGTGCTTCGCTTGGGAGAATCTCGCGCATGAACGTGGCAAGGTCGGTGCATACCACACGGCATTCATCCAACGGTTGCTCACATGCGCAAGGAGAAATCCGGCCGTCCACTATCTATGGCTACGTGCAGTGGACACTGATGATGCGGGAATGTCGGCGTCGACCAGAAGAGCATCATCGTGGTGCCACACGGCAGTGTCTCCCGACCTCGACCTACCGAGGTGCACCTAATTCGGGACCACGCCACGTTGCCGCACGAAAGAGCCAGCGTGTAGCAGCCACGAAAAGAGCATGATGAGCGAAGCGCTGCAAGCAAGCAGCCATGCACGCCTGGTGGCACGTCGGACACGGCGCCGCCGCACGAGCGTACATGCATGGCGACGTCGTGCACTGGGGTTTGCGTGGAGCGCCAAGTGGTGCGGAGTCGCTCACTACCATACCCATCCGTGGTCCCCGAAATGGTCGCTCATTCCGCCTGCCATTGTGTGTGCCATTGCTTTTTTTTTTTTACCACTGACTTGACGGCCGGCACTTGGATTTTCTCTAGAGGCGTAACGTCGGCGTCGTGATAGTAGGCAGACGTGGTCGCCGACCTCTCGTAGGATTGTCTGCTGTCCCGACCTGCCAGATACCGCCGACATAGAATACGCATTTAGTAGTTTTTAGACCTCACCACGCCGACTTCCCATCGCCCTAGGTCGCCGTATCATGGCCAGAGGACAGCCTCGTTCGACACCGCCGCAAACCAACCCACCCCCCGCCGATGTCGACATGACGGACGTTCCGAACCCCGCTAGCCAGGGTGAGGACGTCCGCCCGGTAGACCGTACACCGACCAGTAACCCCTCGTCGACTTTGCCGCTGCTTTACGATCTCGACGCCCTGGCCCAAATCCCGCAGGGAGAGTTCACCAAGGACGTTCCGCCCGCGCCGATAGGGGAGTTCACGAAACCACGCAAAACGTCGACGCCGACGGATGCAGGGGAGGCCGGGCCGTCGTCTGTGCCGGACGGATCGGGCGACCAGGATGAGGACGATTATTCATCGGCGAGCGACGAGGACGACGAAGACGACCCGCGGCCCCGACGTGGTGCAGGTTCGCGCACGTTGGAAGAAAAACTCAGGGGGGAACGTGCGTTCATAGAGGAACTGTTGGACGAGAACGAGCTTGAGGATCTGCTGCACACGTCGGTCCCTCGAGAAATGTGGAAGGCGGCCGACTTCGTAGAGGAAGATATGGTGTACGCGTGCGTCGACGTGCTCGTGATGGAGGCAATGCGCCACCTGAAAACCATAGAGGCCAAGAGCACGCTCAAGTCCTACACCTCATGGATATACGACTACAAAAGGTGGACGGCGAAGATGCTTAAAAAAATTGGCGACAAGCTGCCGACAGCAGAACAAATGAGGCACGTCGACGAGATAGGGCACTGGACACACAACAACAAGAGCAAGGATTGGGACAACGAGAAGGTGGTCAAACGGAAGCACATATGGCTGCACGGCCCTCGGGTCACTAGTACGCGACTGCGCGCCTACATCAAGTTCATGAGGCGGGAGTACAAGATCGACGCCGACACGAACGAGCCAGTGCGAGCCTACACGGTGCACATGATCCTCGGCCGCATCAAGGCCTGCCAGATGGCGGCAAGGGTGGAGGCGACGCTCTACAAGGAGGAGTTGGGCATCATGCGGGAAATCTCGGTGGTCCGGTCGGAGGTGCGGGTCATGGTCCGCACGAAAAATCAGAGGGACCTCGAGTAAGTTGGCATGCATCACCGTGTTATGTCGCCATCGATTTGTGTTCCTCGCCCTAATATTCATATCCATATATTGTTATGTCCACAGTAAATGCGCCGACCGTCGACGCGGCACCATCGGCGACACATACACCGCCGAACAGCTCCGCCAGATAATGACGAGGGTGCTGCCGGCTTGGGCGGCGTCAGCATGGAGCCCGCATTTCACCACACCTACGCAGACGCTGTGGAGGTTTCTTCTCATCAAGGTGCTCACGCTGCTCTCCCACCACAGCCTCATGCGCGGTGCAAGCATACGCGAGATAACGCTCCCCGACATCTTCCTATACCGACTGGCGAGCACCTCGTCGGTGAACCCGGATAACCAGCCGGTCGTCATGGTGGTCGCCGCGCGGAACTCGAAGACGTCGAAGGATGCGCGTCTTCAACAGAGCTACGCGGCGCGGCACCTAGAAGCGGAGTTGTGCACCGTCGGCAAGACCGGGCTGTGGTTACACTTCGTCCTCGACCAGATCGGCCAGTTTCACGGCGTCGACCTCATTCTGCCGGTCGACACCAGCACACGCGAGCTCTGGTACAAGAAGCACCTGTTCTTCGCCCGCAACAACCCCGAGCAGGGCGAACTCTCAGCTCCCAGCCACCAGCGATGGACGAGGCAGATGTGGAAGACGAACGAGGTGTTCTGCAAGCGGAACGTCCATGCCGCTCGGGCGGGCGGGGCGCAGGAGTTGGCCATCCAAGGTACGCCTCGCGCCGAGATAGCCGAGCTGGGTCACTGGGCTCTCGACAAGATGACTCGAGCCTACATCACATCCATTCCCGTCGGCGTGGTGATGAAGAAGGCCGGCTATTCGGGATTCACGCAGGACTACTTCTTGGGTCGCAGTAGGGTGGAACCGGGAGACGAACTCCTCGCTCTCATCGCCGAGCACATCTTCCCCGGCGTCGACGACCTCCTCAACAAGGTTTGTTTATCGGTGCCGACCAAGCTTGCATGGTACTGTCCTATCCACCACGGAAATAACCCACGTCTGATGTCTAACTGCAGGCAGAAGAACTCGCGAAGAAGGGGTCCAACGCCGACGTTGCGGCCGTGCATTTCTGGCGCACCCTTCTGATGTTCCGCCGCATTGTCGCCGAGGACCTCGCGGTGAAACTCGTCCGCACCCCTTGGCACCCGTACATCCAGTATTCCAAGCTCTGTCGGATTCCCCTCTTCCAGCACTGGGCGAAGAGGGTCGAGAAGACCGACACCGACACCATAAAAAAGCGGCAAGATCCAACCCTCATCCAGCCAGAGGTAGGTCATCTTTTATGCCGACGTCGCGATGTTATCTATGACCGCTACAACCCCTCATCTGCACCGTTATTCGCATACCATTGCAGGAGATATCGGTCCGCCATGACGCCCAGTTCGCGGTCGTCTCCCTCACGGAGACGCTTAAGCTCGAGAGGGAGCGGTCAACGGTCCAGAAGCTCGACCTCGAGGAGAAGATCGAGAATCGCGACGCAACCATCGCGTCGCTCGCGGCCGAGATAACACGCCTCACCGAGGCTCTCCGCGTTTCAAAAGCTCGAAGGATGCCGGAGGCGCCGCCAGCTGCTAACGACCAGTCGCCGAGCGACGGTGGCTCCGCGGAGTCGGCAAGCAGGGGTGGAGGAGCCAACAAACCCAATAAACCCCCACAGACGGTCGAGGAGGCTAGCTACGAGCTGAACGTAGTGCAGCCTTGGCGGACTACAACGACCGTCAAGGACGCGTGGCGCCTCTGGACCTCGTGCACCAGCGCCGACACCCGTCGTCTGTGCGACAGGTTCAGGGAGCCGGGATTCGTCGACCGCCACACCCTCCTCGACGGAGCCTCGCAGGGAGCACACGGGAAGAGGGTGCGCCGCATGATGAAGGTCATCGATGCGGTGCGCCAGCTTCGCAGGAGCGACGGCGAAGCCGACACGGAAGCCACCGTCGACGCGCTTAACAAGATAGCGGCGCCTGGCATTGGGACCTTCGCGGATGCCCTCATGGTGCTCAACGCGGACGCCGTAGCGACCTATGCTGGGCAGGGTAAGGGCGTCAAAGGGCTCAGCAAGACGGAATTTTCCAAGCTTCGTGTCACCTGTGCGTTCGTGGCGCGCGGGTTAAAGCCCGAAACGTGGGTCGCCGACCTGTTCCCGGACACCTGGGTTGAGCAGATGAAGAAGACGTTGGCCGATCTGGTCCGCGAAAATGACGCCGGGCAGCTGCCTCCGACCAATAAGTCGACCAAGCGCAAGAAAACCGCTTGAATGTTCCCAGGCTTCCTGCTACTGTGGCCTGTTGCATGTTGTAGATGTTGATGCAGCAAGCCTATGTTTCATACTGATACTGATGTCGACTTTTTGTTTCTCACAATGATCCTGTTGTTCTTGGCCTAGCGGGGCATTCACGTGTCGTTCAAACTGAAGTAGACAATCATTACTAGCTAATGTGTTCATTACTCATCCTACGTAAAGTAGACAGGCACGCACAAAAAAAAACACAAAGAAAGAGCATCAAAGGGATCCGTCAGCCAAAACAAGGAAAACGATATCGACCATTTCATCATCGAGTCCACGCAGCACTCAATCTTAGCAGGCCGTCGTGCTGTCCTTCTTCGACATCTTGCCCTTCTCCGTGCCGCCCTTGGTCTTCGTCCCCTTCTTGCCCCTCAGACCCTTCCTCCCCCTGTTGTCAAGATCGGCCTTCATCTGCGCGTCAATTGGCACCGCGATGTCCCTCGCTCTTAGTTTCGGCCCGGCGACGGGGCACATTCCCCAAAACGCCATCGTCTCAACCGTCGCTCTAGCGATAACGTCGGCATCTACTCCAGCATTCCCCCCCGGATAGACCGTATCAAGGGCGGTCCTCTGGAGTGCTGGCGCGACGTTGTAGGCAACCTCTCCCAGGGGGCGGTCCCTGTTCATATCGGCTTTCAGCACCGCCTCCATGACTTTTCCGAATACATCGGCGGTCGCCTGGCTCGCTCCGCCGATGATCGCCGCCGACTTCCCTTCTTCCACAGCATCCGCCAGCTGGGCATCGCCGTTCTCGACGAAGCACCACACAGCGCATGCGGATGCTGCTAACGCCCATGCCGCCATATCCGTCTTCTCCTCCTTGTCTCCCTCCTTCTTCGCCGCTGCCGCAGCGGTCTTCCCATATGCAGCGCACATTGACACGCGACCTATCATCGCCGACATCATGAACGCCGACTTCTCCCGGCCTTCCTCGGTGCTAGCATCGACTGGGTACCATATCGCTGGCAGGAGCGCGGCGTGGAGACAATCGCCAGTGGACTTGTAATGGCGATACGCGTCGAGTATCTCTGTCAGCCTGTCACGCCACCACAAACAGGGCGAACATGAGTGACAACGACAACGACATCGACTTTGAATCGGAGGATTGCCGACTTACCGTGTCTTTGGAAGGAGCGTACCCCGGGCCCACATCACCGTCCACATCCCTGTCGGCAAGATCCTGACCTCCTCCCACACCTCCTTCCACCTCTCCAATTCGGCGCTGTCCAAGCCGGTGAGCTCGGTCATGAGCACCTTGCTCACGAAACCGTCGTAGACGACGTACGCGATGGAGTGAACGTACGCGAGCTCCATCTTGTCCCGCGACTTGCCGATGTATCGATTGATGCCGTGCACCTTAATCTCGCCGACCCACCCTTGCTTGTCGCCCGAGGTATCGTGTCGGATGCCATGACCCCTCCTCTCCTTGCCCTTCCCCTCCTCCTCCTCCTCCTCCTCCTCCTCCTCCTCCTCCTCCTCCTCCTCCTCCTCCTCCTCCTCCTCTTCCTCCTGCTCGACCTCCTCCACCTCCTCGACATCCTCATCCTCCTCCTCCGCCTTCCTCTTTCCCTTTCTCCCCTTCGAGGAACCCTCGCCGACCGCCTTCTCCTTCCCCTTTCTCCCGGTCGACGCACCTTCTCCGACCGACTTGTCCTTCCCCTTCCTCCCCGTCGACGTACCCTCGCCGGGCGACTTCTCCTGATTCTCCCCTTTCCCTTCAACCTCCCCAATGCCGCCTCGATCTTTGTCCGCCGCCGTCTCCGCCGCCATCCCCTTCTGTTTATCCGCCGCCTTCACCTCCGACTTCTCCCGCGTCTTCCTCTGTGAGCCCGCCTTCCCCTTCCGTTTCGACTTTCCCTCACCGACCGCATCACCGGTCGCACTAGGCTCTGCCGCGATGCCGACGAGTCCCGCCGAAGGCTCCACATGTTCCGTGTCGGAGATGGCCAGGGTTCGGGGATTGGCTGCATCCAGATGGGCCTGTATGGCAGCGATATCAGCGTCTGCGGGGACCTCCTCAACGGCGCCGCCGCCGGTGGCAAGCGCGGCACGAACGCCCTTCTCCGCCGCCTTCTCCACATCAGCTGCCACATGGGTGGGTGGTGCGACATTCGCCGACGACGGCTTAGAGCCAGAGCCAGAAGCCTGCTGAGTCCTCTCAGTCGACGCTAGTGCGCCCAGCTGGGCGCGCAACAACGCGGACTTTGGGTCTGCAGGAGTACGGGCGGCGACGACCGGCACTACACGTGGCCCACTGGCCGATGGGACGTTGACAGCAGGGGGGGCCTGTTGAACAGCCCTGTGGCCGGCTAGGAGCCTGAGCTGCTCCTTGAGCGCGTCCGCAACTGCCGCCCCTTTTCCCGCGCGGCCAACCTTGTCGGCAGACGGTACGTCGGCATGGCGCGGGACGTCGGTAGGTCGCCCGGCAGACGGTCCGGTTGGATGGCGTGCACCCGCGGGAGACTGGTGAGGAACCGCTGACGCCTCCGCAACCCCTGTCTTCGGGCCCTGGCCAGCTTTCGCGGACCCGCCTGGGGCCGTTTTGGCGGCGGCCTTCTCCTTGTCGCGCAGGCCTTTCACACCGCTACCCTGTCGTGGTGGCTTAACGCCGACCGAAGGCGGAGCCATTGGCAGTGCGTCATCAGTGGCATGCTCGTCGGCGGGACCCCCACCACCATGGCCCGTGCTGGCCGCTCCAACCTGAGCCCAGTGCTTCCTGAGGATGTCGACCACGCTCTTCCCCGACTGCTTCAACGAACTGCCGTCGCCGGCTCCCATGCTCCCATCGCCGGCGACGCGAGAACCAGCCGCTCCCTTGGTCTGCCTCGCGCCCGCCGAATCGTCTCCGTCCCCCCCCCCGCCGCCAGACCCCCCGCCTCCCTTGCTCCGCTTCATGTTCGCCGAATTGTCCCCGTCGCCCCCCCCGCCGCCTCCCCGCCTCTTGTGACCCAGCTTCAAGCCCTCCGTAGGTTGCGCTTGGCCGGCGTCGTTTGCCGACGGCGACGACCCACGCCGAGCATACGCCACCGTGCCGACGACCTCGGCCATTATCTTCAGTCCGGAGGCGAGGAAGGACTGCTGCGTGGTCTCCGTCACCGCCTTCAGCACGTCCTTCTTGAAAGACTTGAGGAAATCTTCCGGCAAGGCCTGCGCTGGGCCGGTAGGCGGCGGCGGCTGGACTAGGCGGGGCGCGACGGCGGCGGCAATGTTGGTCTGCGCGGCGCCGATGTATTTGATGAACGACTCCTCCAACCCCTTCCTCGCCTCGCCCACCTCCGCCGTCACGTGCTCGGTCACTGTCTTCACCGCGGTCGCGCGTGCGACCGTCGCTCGTCCCTTGGGGTCGTCAAGATCCAGCAGCGTCTGCCTTGCTAGCTCGGCGAAGGACTTGGCCGATTGAATGGCGCTGTCCATGTTGTCGGTGAGGCCCTCGGTGATTGTGGTCGCCATGGTCGACGTGGCCTCTTTGAGGCGCTCCTCCGATTTCCGGTCGGTGTCGGCGACCTAGGCGGTCAAACCCTTCACCTTCTCGAGGAGCCCAGCTAATGCCGCCGCTAAGCTGTCGACCCGCCCCGTCTGCTCACCGAGCCGCCGTTCAAGGAGTGCATTGTCTGCACGCAATCGCCTGTTCTCCGCCCTCAGCTGATCGACGACGTCCAGCCGCGCCTGCCGCCCAGCCGCGGTGGAACCGGGATGACCGCTCGCCGCCTTCTTCCTCCTAGACCGCTCCCCGCCGGCCTTCTCCGCGGTGGCATCGGTATGCACATCCACGCCCCTCTGCTCCGGGACCGCGGCGTTATCCCCTTCACCGACCTCGACCATGCCACCACCTCCGTGAGCCGCCTCCACGCAGACCTCGCCGATATTCGCTGTCGCACCCTTCCCCTCCCCTTCGTCGTTCTCGACATCCGCCGATCTCCCACCCGTTTCCTCCGCTCCTCCGACAACGTACCCCTCCGCTCCTCCGACAACGTACCCCTCCGCCATTTCCACGTCCTCCACCTCTACCAACTGCTCCTCCTGGTGCTGCCTCTCGTGCTCCTGCGTCTCCTGCTCCTGCTCCTCCTCCGACTCCGACTCCGAGCCCGATCCCGACCCCGACCTCGACCCCGACGACTCCTCCGAGCCCCCCTCACCCTCACGTTCCTCCTCGCGATCCTGGACCCCATCATCATCCCCGTGAACAACCTCAGTCCCGGTCACCCCCTTTCCTGCGGCCGCATCGGCCTCGTCGACGCCGACTCCCGACTTGCCACGCGCATCAGCGACGTTCGGGGCGACCCCTACTGGTACGGATGCAGAATGGACTTCCTCGCCGTCGTCGTCACAGGCGTCGGCAGCAACAACGGTTTTCCCCGACCGTATGAGCGGGACTTGCTTCTTGATGAGGGCTACCATCTCGTTCCGCAGCGCCTTCAACCCCGAGACGGTGGGCTTGTCCATGCTGGTGGCAATGCGACGGAGGTCGCCGGTCAGGCGCTGGAACCGCCTCACAACCCAGATCAACGCGCTCATTGCTAGCAGGCCGGAGCCCGCGTCCGAGTCCCGGCCGGTATCGGGAATTTTCTGCATACAACAGTGCAGAGAGCAAGGATGAGGGCGGCGTAGATGTGACACCATACGACGGCGAATCGTCCGGAACTCACATCTCGAAGGGGTTCGTCGCAGTCCGCGAGCCTCTCCTGCACCTCGTCTTCGGACGGCTTCGCCCACTCCCATTTCCTACCCTCGCGCCGCAACTCGGCCAGAACAGCGGTCCGGAAAAACCTGCAAAAGCACGGCAAGGACGGTCGGTTAGCACGGTGCACGCGTCGTGTCGACAATGTATGCGATGTCGACTAAACTATCGAGCTCACTTCAGCACGCGGATCGCCTCGTCGCGGTGCCACTCCTTCACTGTCTGCGGGTCGGCGTGCCGGATCGAGGTCCTGACCTCCTGCCCCGAGGCATTGAACAAATCGCCGGGGCACAGGATGAGAACGACGCTGCAATGTGCTCCCGGAAGCGGTGCGATGCTGCACAGACAAGGCACGTCGATGGCGCTCAGAACAAATCACCGACACAGGTTGCAGCACACAGCAGGACCTCGAACCTGCTCACCCCGATATCAGTGGGATAACCGCCACGTCGGCGTCGAAAATCGTCGCAAAGCATGTGTGGTCGTCCTGACCCATCGCCGCCCGAAGCCGGCCGACTCCTATCGACCACAATCGCTCGCCTGCATCCGTTGAGCGGATCCATGCGTGCCTGCACGCATGCATGATTACAACAAATTAGAGAGGTATAGGTGCGCGGCACGACGGTGGAATGACGGGAGCCGAACGACTTCGGCACAACTCAGCGTCGTCGACGACCTAACGCATTACGTCGGCATCACCGATGTGATGTGCCTGAACTCTAAGCCCGTCGACATATACTACTGGACGCATTGAAACCCCGCCATGGCCGACCAGCATGGAATAGGCCCGTCGACGACGACATCTCCATAAGACACTCACTTGAGACCGAGTCCCAAGCAACGGGCGTTAAACTCTAGCATAGGGTTTGTCAGAACGGCGTAGTCGTGCTCTTCGAACTTGGCCGTGTGTCCTCTACCGATGTCTAGATGCAGGGGGAAATCTAGCGAGGTCGGCGCCGCTTCGGCGACTTTCTGGCCGGCTGCCATGGCGGGAGAGCGAGGATGCTATGCTACAGGCTAAGGGAAGAAACGGTGGGAGTATGGAAGGCGCCGAGGTGGGAGGAAAAATGAAAGAGAAACGAGAACGCGAAAATGAGGGGCCAGTCCACCTCCAACGAAGAAAAGCCAGGCGGAGCCACGCAGGCCCGGTTGAGCGTCGCCCAGGGGGCCGTGATGCCTGGCTCGGCAGGGCTCGTGCACAAGTTGCGTGGCACAAGTGCACCCTCGCCGCCGAGCCAACAGGTCGACGTCACGTCCCCCACACGCGCAGGGCCAGGCTGGCGGGCCCGCACGCGCGTCACTCGCCCGCCTCGTCAGACCCCTGTCCGTCGACCCCCCTCGTCGACCCTGGCAACTCGGGTCCGTCGACCTGATTCCGCTGGGATCTTCAGAAGAATATCAGAAAGACGCGAGCGAAGATGCACCAGCCGGTTATTCGCCATATCGACTTTATTACGATTTAAAGAAATCAAGGAAAAAAAACCTCAATTATTGCACGCTAGAAAAAAACCGGGTCAGGTCGTCTCAAGTTAGATTCTCTGAAAAGGAGCAGTGCAGCAGCAAATTGGTTAGTTATTTGTTAAAAAATTGGAGCAAGGATCTCAGACTCAGAAGGCAAGCTCTGGGCCACGCTCGGCACGCTCTGGCGATATGCTCTCGCACATGTGAAGCGTGGAGCGATCCGATCAGGTGTAGAGTACGATAGTGCAACCAACCGGTGACTAATATTTGTAGTCACCGCCTCGGTCTTGCTGGTAGTGGTGAAGATAATTAGGTGGGTCCGGAACCATCCGGACTCACACCAATTAGTAAGTTAGGAAGCAGTTTAGGAAAACAGTGAGGCTGGGATGGCGGAAGTAGTAACAGCTGTAATTCGCCGCGGAGGCGCCGGCGGGAGCAACCGCGTCACGGACGGCGATCTCGAGAGTTTCCTCTTCGGCGAGGATGGTGACACGTCAGAGATCGGCAATCGCAGCCGTCGATCCAGCCTCAGCTTCGAGCCGCTCTCGGCGCACGAAGAAGACGATGGCGCTCCCGGCGGAGCCCGTGCCTACATTCTCGGCGGAGGACAGGGGGGGGGACAGGGCGGGGGACACGGCGGGGGACAGGGTGGTGGCCATGGCGGGGGACATGGCGGGGGACACGGCGACAGAAGGCGGATGAGCGTGGAGGAAAAAAACGCGTTGTGGCGGGGAACCGTTCGCGCGCGTGTGTCGTTCAAGCGCGGAGGGGGAGGGTCGCGGGGGGAGCCGGAGGTGCAGGAGCCGCTGGTGCCGCGGAGCGGGGAGCTGGTTCCGCGGAGTGGGGAGCTGGTTCCGCGGAGTCGAGAGCTGATGGCTCGGCCGCGGCCGCAAACGCCGCCGTTAGGCACGGAGAGGGGGACAGAGCGGAGCGGCGTGTCAGGGTACGAGACGACTCATAGGAGCAGCATTTCTGTCGCGGATAGGGGTACGGAAAGGGGAACGGATAGGGGAACGGATAGGGGGACGGAGCGGGGAACGGAACGAAGCGCAACGGCTAACGGCACAGAGCGGATTGGAAAAGGGGGTTCGAATAAGGACAAAGAGCGAGACGCGGCGGTGGTGGCAGCTGCGGCGAAGGTTCTGTCGGTGTCTGCTGCTGCGGCGATCTGGGGGGGGAGTCAGAAGGAGGGCAGCACTGTGGGCACGGGAAGAAAAGTGGGACCCGACACGGATAATATGTCTACAAGGTGAAGAGAGCACGCTGTGGTGCGGATAATGTGGGACATAACCACCACCACAGCCACTCAGGCCAAAGGCACACCCCCGCCCACGGACTATGATCCGTCGCAGGAAGTCCTAACAGGCAAGAACACGCACGTTTACTTCCCCTCACTCCCCTCCCGAACCACCCCTCCAGGTCTGGCCATACCTCGGCCGCAACCGCCCTCAAAGGCGCACCCCCTCCCACGGACTATGATCCGTTGCAGGAGGTGCCGATGGGCAAGCACACACACATCCTCCTCCCAGACGGCACCTTCAAGGTCCCCACCGCGGATGACCATGACGCCACCACTGCCTCGGGTCAGCTGCCAGCACACCCACCTGATTCCGCTAAAACACACACCCACCCCACCACTAGCTCAGCTAGCCTTCCCACCCTCCCAAACCTCCCGAACCTCCCGTCCAGGTCTGGCGTGACCCCCTCTTGACAGCAACGCTCTCTTGAAAGGCGGAGCGCCCCCTCCCACGGACTACGATCCGTCACAGGAGGTGCTGATGGGCAAGCACACACACATCCTCCTCCCTGACGGCACCTTCAAGGTCCCCACCGCGGATGACCATGACGCCAGTACCGCTACTGGGCAGCACACCCACCCGATTCCACCAAAACACACACCCTCCACTAGCTCAGCTAGCCTTTCTCCTGCCCCAACCTCCCGAATCTCCCGGACCTCCCGTCCAGGTCTGGCCATGCCTCGGCCGCAACCGTCCTCAAAGGCACACCCCCTCCCACGGACTACGATCCGTCACAGGAGGTGCCGATGGGCAAGCACACACACATCCTCCTTCCAGACGGCACCTTCAAGGTCCCCACCGCGGATGACCATGACGCCACCACCGCCACGGGTCAGCACACCACCACAGGAAGGAGCAGTGGTGGCGGGGGAGGGAGCAACCGGCCGGTGAGGCAGCCTGCTGTTCATTGGGAGGACTGGGCGAGCGATGAGGAGGAGGACGAGGAGCAGATCGATGCTGTGATGCTGGAAGGTGAGTGGTGGGGGTGTGTGATGAATGATGAGTATAGTAGCTGGTATGGCACTTGGAGGGGGGAGCAACCAGCCCGTGAGGCAGCCTGCTGTGCATTGGGAGGATTGGGCGAGCGATGAGGAGGAGGACGAGGAGCAGATCGATGCTGTGATGCTGGAAGTTGAGGGGTGGTGCGGGATTGGTTCGAACTTGTAGTCACCTGGTATCGTTCCCGTGATTGTCGTTCCTTCGACTCTAATTCCTGTGCTTTCACTGCCGTCCACAACGCAGTGCTCTGCGTGCCAGCAGACTCCCTTTCCCTTCCCTCTCCCCTCCTCCCCTGCCCCCCCAGACATCTACTTCAAGGTCAAAGCGGCAGACAAGCGGCTGGACGATTACAAGAACCTGGTGCCGTTCCTCTGCGTCATCGTGCTCTCTATATCGCAGTGCTCTCCACACGCACACGCCCAACCCATCCCTCTCCCTTCCCTGCTCGTATTCCAGGCATCCCTTTCAAGGTGAAGGCAGCGGATAAGCGGCTGGACGATTACAAGAATCTGGTGTCGTTCTTCTGTTTTATCGTGCTGTATATGGTGGTGCTGTACATGCAAGCCGACCCCCCTTCCCTCCCCTCCTCTCCTCCCCTCCTCCCCCATCCACTCCTGTAACCGCAGACATCTACTTCAAAGTCAAAGCAGCGGATAAGCGATTAGACGACTACAAGAATCTGGTGTCGTTCCTCTGTTTCATCGTGCTGTATATGGTGGTGCTGTACATGCAAGCAGACTCCACGGACGGGTTTGAGGTGTCCACCGCGCACAACATACTGCTCCCTTCGGTGAGAACCACAGGGTGTACTGTCTACATGTTGGTGCTGTAAATGCTGGTAAGTGGTGCTGTACATGCAAGCAGACTCCATGGACGGGTTTGAGGTGTCAACCTTGCACAACAGACTGCTCCCTTCGGTGAGAACCACAGGGTGTACTGTCTACATGTTGGTGCTGTCTACCCTTCGGTGAGCACTACAAGCGTGTGTGGATGTCAGTGGAACTCGGCTCGGTGCAAGTTTGGATACAGTGGGTCAAGATAAGAGGTGGGTGGTCGTGCTGTAGCCGGTACCTATGTGGCGGTCGTGCTGTAGCTGGTACCTATGTGGCGGTCGTTCCTCAACTGAAACTAGTGTAATATCTCTCGCTCTACGTCTTCCTCTCCTCACCTGTCCTCCGTCTTTTCCCTCCCCATCCCCGTAGGGGGTGCATGAAAAAGCGAGGTCAACTCTCTTACACCAACCCCACCGTCAACCCCCACCCCTACCCCCCACCCCACTCCCTCCTTCCTTTCCCCACTCTCCTCTTTTCTCCCCTCCGTTTCCCCCAGGGGGCATCGGGCAGTGAGCTCAACGCCATGAGTGGACCGGACGAGATGTACCAGTGGGTTAACGACAGCATCATACAGGTGCGTGGTGATACTCGTGAGAGTAATGCAGTTGAGAAATAGAACAGGTGGGAGATAATAGGAGTGAGTAATCATACAGGTGGGGCAGGCGAGGCGTTAAGTTGCAACATACGCTTATAGCGTATATACGCTTATCGTATATACGCTAGCGTATGCACGCTATCCGCTTGGGGGTCGACTTTGGAATACGCTTTTCCAGGCAGGGAAAAAACTTTCCCGGGCAGGGCAAAAAAAACCACTTGGGGATGTTTGGGGGGGGGGGGAGGGGTGAGGCATTTTGGGGGTTTTGCAACACAGTTTTTTTTTCCCCATAATAAGATTACGACACCATACACACACACATGTAGGGATGAGCAAATGGCGAACACGAACATGTTCGTGTTCGCCTGGGCTCGAACATGGCCGTTCAGCGAACCGAACAGTGTTCGGTTCGCCGAACACTTTACACCAGAAAGGGTGTTCGAAGTTCGCCAAGAGAGGCGAACATTTCGAACGTTTTGGCGAACACGAACACGTTCGCCCAGAACATGTTCGCGTTCGCCTTAAAGGACCTTCTTAGATCCAAGTAGAGTGAAATCCAAATGTTTCACATTCCCTCCCCCCACCCCCCAAGGCAGTCCCGCCCTGCTTCATCCATACTAGTGCCAGCGTGTGACAGCGAAAGGCTAGATCTGCACTTAAGCAACGGCGAAATGCTAGATCTACGCTTAAGCAACGGCGAAATGCTAGATCTGAGCTTAAGCAACGGCGAAATGCTTGATCCGCACTTAAGCAACGGCGAAATGCTAGATCTATACTTAAGCAACGGCGAAATGCCTTGATCCGCACTTAAGCAGTGGCGAAATGCCTTGATCTGAGCCCAAACACCAAGGCCCGCGACCTAAAAATTGGTCGCGGGCCTATTCGTCGACGAACACCAATGTGTTCGTCGAAGGCCCGTGTCGAACACGAACACGTTCGTGTTCGACGCGCCTCGGCCAGCTGAGCCCGGCGAATGGCGAACGTGTTTGGGCAAACACCGAACACGTTCGCCCCGAACAATTTAGGCCAAAAAAAATCCTGTTCGGTTCGCCTCGAAGTTTTCGTCATATTGCTCATCCCTACACACATGTCACTAATACTCTCCTGCCACCCTAGTTCTAAGCGTACTCGTCCTCCAGGACGTCATCCTCGCCTTCCTCCTCCTCCACCTCCGTCTCATCCAACCCGTTGTACCCCTCGGGAATAGGAGGCTCGTCCCCAATCCCTGGCACAACGTTCGGCATTACATCTGCGCGCGAGTGCCAGTTGCGCACAACATTCCAGTTGTGCGCAACAAAAACCAGGTCCTGGCACTTGGCAGATCCGAGGCGGTTCCGGCGGGCTATGTGGACTGCATCCCAAGTTCCCCACCCACGCTCACAAGGGGATGCCGATACAGGCTGAGATAGCACCCTCACGGCGAAGCGCATCAGGTGAGGTGCATCTGTGCCGTTCCACTGCCACCACTTCACCATGCTGTACTTACCCGCCTTCACCTTCTCCCTCTGTGCAAGCGCCTCCGGCATCCCAAAACTGCCTTTCATGTCCAAGAAAGCCCTCAGCCCGTCACCCAAGGCAAGCAAGTAATCTGGACCCTCATCCCTCCCCTTCCCGTCGTGGCCGATGAGGAACTCCACGTGCTGGTTGATTAACGCCTTGAAAACCCGGGTGCATTCGGCGTTGTTGCCAAAGATATCCTCCTCCTGGTTGGCGGGGTTGAGGATTCGGCCAGCAACGTGCATGGCGCAGGCGAGGTTGTTATCCCAGCGGTCCTTTATGATGCTGCGGATCTTTTCCTTGTCCGCGCTACTCAGCTGCTGCTCATCCTCGTCCAGGATGTTGTTGACATCCTCGGTAAGCTGCAGCATTACATCGTAGAGCCGGCCCATCATCCCATTGGCATCTGCGTCAGTCTGCCGCATCGCCTTGTAGGGCAGTTGCATCAGCTTGCAGAAGAATTCTGCCGTCCGCCACCATGCGTCATCGAGGACCCGTGCAGCAAAGGCCTCGGCAGTTTCCTTCCGCGACCCCGAGGCCCTCTCCTTCCACCAGTCGGAAAGCACCATCGCGTTGAGGGTGCTACACAACTGACAAAGGCGGGACACAGCAATGTATTGCGTCCCGAACCGTGTTCCCGCTGGCTTCAGCGGCTGCAGCACCTTCCCCTCCACCAACTCCTTGGTCCTCAGGTAAGCGCGCGTCCAATGATGGTTGCGAACGAACGAACTCATCTCCCCAGTCCGATCCACCACCCCTTTTGCCCACCCCATCTTTCCCACGTCCTCCAGGAGGAGACCCATCACATGCGTGGCACAAGGGACCTGCTGAATGTGGGGCCACTTGGCAATCAGCTCCTGGACAACCACGGCATAGTTCGACCCCCCATCCATACAAAACGCGACGACATTTTCTGGTCCTACCTCCTCCACCACCGGCTGCAGAATCCCCGCTATGTATCCCCCCGTCTTCCGCTCCATACCGCAGTCGATCGCCTCCCTGAAGACGGCGCCGGAGTCGTTGATCAGAAGCACGTTTGCTTGCGCCCTCCCACATTTGTCCGTCATCATGTCGGACGCAATTGTTACCCCCGTCTTCTTCCAGCTCGATTTAATCCCCACCAGCCCCTGCTCAATCCCTTTGCGGACAACGACCAGTCCAGCCCCGCCAATGAAAGTCCTCCTGGGGGGGACGTAGCTGTTGCCGGCGCGGCTGACGAGCAGCATGGCGTTGATGAACAGCGGGTGGTCCATGGTGACCTCCGGGATTCTGCAGGCCGCAAACATCAGCGCAAGGCCCTCGTGAGCATCCCGCTTAGCCGCAGCGGCATCTCCCTCCAAGTAGTCGGTTATGCGCCGCTTCCCTCCGCCAGCCTGTACTGCCGCAACTGCAGAAGATGTTGCTCGGCGCTTTTCCTCGATCGCGGCAGCCATCTTTTCGTATTTGGTGCGCATCTCGTTGCGTACGTCTTGCGGTGCCTCCTTGCAAAGCGTCACCTCGCGACGCTTCATTCCCTTCCACGAGCACAGGTGCTGCGCGCAACGAATGGCTGCACCGGTGAAAACATTGAAGCAGTACTTACACTCGTACTGCTGTGCTTTGCCTTCTTCCCGCACAATGAGGCTGAAATGTTTGAAGACAGCGTGTTCCGGCATGTCAGGAAGGTAATCCCTACCCTCAGGTCGAACAATCCGAGAACTCTGCACTGTCTGAACGGATGGCGGTGTGCATGGCGGGCTAGACATTACGAAAGAGACGGGGAACTGATGAATTGCGTAGTTGCTTGCAACCCACTAAGTAGCACAACGAGAGAAGGGAACATTGGGACATTTGGTTGGAGTGAGTAGATGGGAGGGGATTCAATGCGGTAACAAACAGAGCGCACAAAGTGTGTACGTGAAAACGCGACTTGACAAATTGACACAACCAATCTCGACTACGTGGGTTGAACCCACGTCCACGATTGAACAAGTCACGTATGTGCAATTCGCGTTCTGCAAAAAGCCACGTCCACAATTGGACAAGTCACGTTCGTGCAATTCGCCTTCGGCAAAACGCACGTCGTGAAATTCCGCATCTTTCCGTATGTTCGATTTTTTTTCCGCCCGGGCTGCCCCAAAACAAATTTGCCGAGCGTATAGCGGATTCGCTTGCGTATAGCGTGTTGCGTGTATATGCAAGCGGATATCCGCTAAACGCAAACAGGCCTGAGCGTTTATTGCAACTTAGGCGAGGCGCTGCTGTGCAGGGAATTGTGTGATTAACATGCTTAGCACCAAACTCCCGCCCACATGACACGCACCATGCTGGTTCTAATCACGCCTTCCTTCACCCTCGTCTCCCTACGTCTCTGTTGCTGGTCCTGTCTCCTGGTCTCCACCACACAGGTGGTGTGGGAGGGGCCGCACTGTGGCAACAGTGTGTGCGACAATCCCTTGGAGTAAGCAGCATTTGGGCGGTTTGGGTGCGAAGCGGACAGTGGGGTGTTTGAGAATGTGACCCACGTGATGATGCTTTTGCTTTGACACGTCTCACCCCTCCTCCCCCTCTCTCTGCCTTTACTGCCTCTGCTGCCTCGGTTGCTCATCGCCAGGTGGTGTGGGAGGGGCCTCACTGCGGCAACAATGTGTGCGACAAACCCTTGGAGTACTGAGAGAGGTCTTGTGTAACCCCATCTTACTCCGACCCATCGTGTCTGCTGCACTGTTCGCTGCCTGCACCACAGGTGGTGTGGGAGGGGCCGCACTGCGGCAACAGCGTGTGCGACAACCCCCTAGAATATGCAGCATTCGGGCGGTTCGGATGCGAAGCAGACTGCGGGGTGTTTGAGAACGTGACGCACGTGGTGGTTCATATCCATTCGTCCTTCTCCTCGCAATCTGACAAGCAGGGCAGCTCCTGGAACCTGTGTATGGTTCAACCCACCAACCTGTGCTGGTGAGTCACGTGCATATCAGTATGTGTGCTGTGGAATAGCAGTAGACCGCTTCATCCCACTCCACATGGTCGTCTGCCTTGCATGTGCGGACATTAATCAAGCTGCTCCCTCCCCATCCGCAATCCTCTCCCACACTCCCCTAACCTCCCTCAGGTTCGAGGAGCCTCAGGTGTTTTCAGAGCTCCAATCAGAAATCGCATTAGACCTTTTCATCCCGGACGGCAACTGGCAAATCAAGCTCGACGCGCCGGGCGGCGGTGTTCGGGGGATAGTGCAAGTGGTCGGCGCACTCAGTGGCAACGCCACCCTGCAACGAACCAACGGCAGGGGCGGCCGAACCAGCGCCCGAGGCTCAGCAACAGGCTGGGGGACGGCCTGGAGCGTGTCAGGCAACGGGGGAGAATCAGGGGGGGTGGTGGATACAACGTTAGCCCAGCTTACAGACTTGGGAGCGAGTAAAGACGTAGTGGTAACATGGGGTGGGTGTGCGACGAGTAAGACAACAGTGGCGAACGGGCGTTCAGCAGTGCTGGCTAAGAGGCTGTATGGGTGTAGGGAGACGTGTGCTGCTATGGCAACGTGTGTGCTGGGCGCGTGTGAGAACGTGGGGGTGGAAGAGGCGTCGGGAGTGTTTGTGGACTGTGCGGTTGTGTGCAACATGGCGCCCTTTACCATCACACAGTACAGCAACTGGACATGCGTTCAGGTGAGCGGCTTAGTTGTGGAGTGTATGCGCGATGTGGTGTAGTGCGGTGCGGTATGGTGCTCTGTATAGTGCTCGGTGGGCGCTCTGTATGGTGCTCTGTATGTTGTATGACTGTGCTGTGGTGTGGTGTGCAACATGGACAATCACACAGTACAGCAACTGGACGTGCGTTCAGGTGAGCACACGGATTGATACAGCAATTCATGCTTCAAGAGCATAACGGGTTATCAGACATACACTCACCTTTGCAACCCCATACGCTCACGTTTCCACCTGTCCTTGTGCTCTCTCCCTCTCTGCTTCCAGATGCTACGGACCACCACCACCGTCCTGAAAAACATCAACTGCTCAGGTAAGGATATGTGCTGCATGTAACTCATCTCATGAAGGTTCGTGGGTGGTTGATGAGTTACATGAGTAACTCATCTCATCTGTGCTTGTTTTGAAGGTTTCCAGGCATCCAAAAGCTGACCGGACGGTGAACTAGAGTAGCAACCACCCATGTCTTGAATGGTGAAATTCGGCCTATCGATTCTGCGCATGTATGTGCAAGCAACTGAGAGCGACTTGAAAGCAACCATTTGCAACATCAGGCAAGTATTGAATTTCACAACAGAGTTTCTGTCTATTAGTCGACTCAAAAGCCATCCCTCCTTTTTTCTTGGTTCCTTTTTTCCTGCCCCCCTGCTCTCTCTCTTCTTCACACAGTAGACGCCACATAAGTCTAGGCTTTGAGGAGAAACGAGTGGCTTCTGAGAGTCAACTCAAAAGTGCTTCGTCGGTACCCTCACCCACGTTCCCCCTCTCCCACTTCTCTCTCTCTCTCTCTCTCTCTCTCTCTCTCTCTCTCTCTCTCTCTCTCTCTCTCTCTCTCTCTCTCTCTCTCTCTCTCTCTCTCTCTCTCTCTGCTTTCCAGACAGTGAACGCCACATAGGTCAAGGCTTTGAAAAGAAACGACTGGCTCCTGAGAGTAAAGTCCTTTCTTGGTATCCTCACCCCGCTTCCCTCTCCCACTTCTCTCTCTTTCTCTCTCTGCTCTGCTCTCCACACAGTGAACGCCACATATGTGAAGGCATTAAGAGGAAACGCCAGCAGCAGCAGCAGCAGCTCTAACTCCAGCAACAGCAGTGCGCATGTGAGTAGCATATCCACCTATCCACCCACGTGTGCGCATGTGAGTAACATATCCACCTATCCACCCCTGGCGTCATCGCAAAAATGTGGTTTCTCCAGTAGTTTTGTTGCGTCAAGTCAACCCTTTTCACGCCACCCCCCTTTCACCCATGCCTTCATTCCACCGCCCCTTTTTCTATGGACCATCCACTCATGTTCCCCCCATGCCCCCCCTTCTTCAGGTGACATCCCACCAGCGGCGGTTGCTGCAGCTGGTTCGAGGGCAACCACCACAGATACCATCACTGCAGAGGCAAGCACAAGGGCATGTGCAGACACCGATGAGCTTAAGCACGACTTCTCCCTTAGAGGCGACTCTGGTTCGAGGGCTGGCATCGCAGACACCGCCTCTGCAGGGGCGAGCACAGGGGCACGTGCAGCGACAGATGAGTCTGAGTCAGACTGTTCCTTTAGAAGTGCCACGTGCAGAGGGGAAACCGCAAGGGAACGTTCAGGTGAAAATAGAGGAGCGAGCTCATGTGGAATCACAGGTGCGAGCTCAGGGGAAGATACGCTCTGCTGCAAGAAAGCGGACCGCGGGACGAATGCTGGGCGTTTTCGGGGGATCGAATGGAGATGTTTCGCTGCCACGCCACCACCACCCCCTGTGGCATGTGAGGCGCGATGCCCCCATGGAGGGCACGAGAGAAGGGGTAGAGGAGGGAGAAAAAGATGTGGTGGTGTTAAAGGCGCAGGGAGGGACAGCAGCAGAAAATGGGGAGGGTGGGGCGGCAGCAGAAGCAGCAGACGAGGTGGGGTTAGCAGCACGAGTGGGGGAAGAGGAGGCAGAGGAGGAAGAGCAAGAAGGGGAAGCTGGGGAAGCAGAGGAAGGAGCAGATAGCGGCTTTAGTGTGTGGACCGACAGCAGTAGCAGCGCAGGCAGCATTGGACACGTAGAGAGCGTGGAGAGTGAGCGAAGCATGGGAGGCCGAATGGAGAGTATTGGAAGAATTGGCGGATTTATGAGCCATAGAGCCTTGAATGCTGGTCAGTTTCCACCCGAATCTCCACCTGAGTTTCTACCTGAATTTCCACCTGATTTTCCACCTGGGTTCCCACCTGAGTTTCCACCTGAATTTCCGCTTGTCCTCCTGCAAGCTGCATTGTGTCTACTCTTCCATCATTTCCCTCAGTCATGTCCCTCCATACATATGCTCCCGTTCATCAGCAGTGCCAGCATCCAACCCTTCACTCCACCCGTTCTCTCCGCCCCCACCCCTCTTCCTCCCTCTTCGTTTCCTCTCTCCAAACCCTTCCAATACACCAGCAGTGCCAGCGCCCAGCCCAATAGCACCGACGGCAACAGCAGCAGCAGCAGCAGCAGCAGCGGCGGCAGCATCGGCAGCAGCAGCTGCTGCTGCTGCGGATACCACCACCCCTACCTCCACTTCTGATAACACTGCACAGTTAGTCGCACAGGCGATCACAGACACACAAGCAATCTCACAGGGAGGCGCACAGACAGTCACAGGTGCACAAGCAGTATCACAGGCGAACACACAGGCAATCACAGGCGCACAGGCAATCACAGACGCGTGGGCAGCTCTAGGCCCCACGGAGCGGCAGCGGTGGTTCAACCTGCGAGTGGCTGTCAGCCGCGCGCTCTTCTCCTGGGTGGGGGACGCCTGCCTTGCAAACGTCTTCTCTGCCGTGTCTCTCGATGCTGCCACCCGTGCTCGTGTTTCTGCCTTGTTCTGTGCTCTGCTGCACAGCCCGGGGGAAGCGCAGGGTGGGCAAGGTGTTGCTGCTGGAGCTTCTGGTGCTTCTGATGGTTCCCTGCTTGGCAGCAGTTTGTTCAGCAGCAGCGATGTGATTGGAGGTGGTTCATTTGACGTGGCAGCAGTGGGAGGGAACGGATGTGTGCTCGGCCCGTTCACCTCTGTGGATGGATCCATGGCTGCTGCTGCTGCTCACTTCGCCTTTCACGGCTTCCCTCCTGCTCCTCCTCCTGCTTTCAACACCACTAACACCAATGGGACTGCTTCTAACGGAGCTGCTTCTAATGGGACTGCTTCTAATGAAACCGCTTCTTCCGTCAGTGCCCCTGATCTGCTCTCCAGGCGACTGCGCATGTCCCGGGATCAGTTTGCGCGGTTCATAGGAACCTTCCTGGATGCTGTCGAGTCGGTGGTGGTTCTGGATGGGGCAACTGTGTCGCGTCTCTCCTCACACCTCTACGTTGCTGCCATTGGCCTTGTGGACGGGAGCACGGAGGGCTGCAGCCTGCGTGAGTGTTACTCTCTTTTCACTTGTCATCTCAATCTAAAATGGTGGAGTCGATAGTGGTGGTGGTGGATGGGGTGACGTTGTCTCGCCTCTCCTCGCACCTCTATGTTGCAGCGATTGGCCTTGTCGACGGAGGGCTGCAGCCTGCGTGAGTGTCGCTCTCTTTTCACGTTGATGCGCCTTGCTTTGCTAAAATGGTGGAGTCGATAGTGGTGGTGGATGGGGCAGCGCTGTCTCGCCTCTCCTCGCACCTCTCCGTCAGCACGGCTTTTGAGACGTCTCAAAATGGGGCAGCGCTGTCTCGCCTCTCCTCGCACCTCTCCGTCAGCACGGCTTTTGAGACGTCTCAAGATGGGGCAGCGCTGTCTCGCCTCTCCTCGCACCTCTCCGTCAGCACGGAGGGCTGCAGCCCGCGCGAGAGTGTTTCAAGACTGCCCTTTCTTCACTTCACTTGTCGACTCTTCTGTGATGGTGGTGACAATGGTGACGGTGGCAGTTTGTGATGGTGTGCTGTGTTGGCTCTTCCCAACTCCGCTTCCCTTCCCTTTTGTTCAACTTGCCCGATGCAGATGGGCGCTTGCTGGAGTGGGCAGTGGGGGCGGATTTCAACGTGACAGTAGGGAGGGGCGACAGTGTGCAGTTTGTGTGGGCTGACGACTACCCTCACTCCGTTAAAGGTGAGTGTTGAGAGGGTGACACTGTGCCCCGGACAGTGTGCTCCGTTAAGGTTGAGTTATGAGAGGGTGACACTGTGCCCTGGTCCGTTAAGGCTGAGGTATGACTCATACCGTATGAGGCCTCTCAAGGCAGTAGGGAGGGGCGACAGTGTGCAGTTTGTGTGGGCTGACGACTATCCTCACTCTGTTAATGGTTAGTCCCTCCAGTACCACACTTATAAGCCCCCTAATTGCTTCGCATATAAGCCTTCCACCTGTACATTCCTCACCTCTTATGCTTTGCCGATTTTCCAACGTTTTTTTTTTTTTTTTTGTCACTCCTCCAGTCTCAATGGTATTGCACGTATGGTCATTTGCCCGTTCCCTTCCCTGCTCACCCCTTCCTTTGTCCTTTCAGTGCGTGGGCTGGGCAGCAGTGCGCACGACAGTCTCTTCAAGGGCTATGGCGCCAACCGCATGGTGCTATCGAGGCACAGCCGGTGCGCGCCTGACAACGTGGGCACCATGCCGCTTGACGGCCCGCCGCACCCGTGTGCTCTCTGTGAGTTTAGTTGTGCATCAAGACACGCATGTGCTCTCCCTGTGCCCTTAGATAGAACTGTGTCTGTCTTATGTGCTGTGCCAAGCCAACCGCATGGTGCTCTCAAGGCGCAGCCGCTGCGCTCCAGACAGCATGGGCAGTGGGCACCATACCTCTTGACGGCCTGCCACACTCGTGTGCTCTCTGTGAGTTCTTGACTGTCAGAACCTTCCAGAATTCGCCTTTTTTGTAGCCTTCACCCGAACCGGCTCTTTCAAAGTGGTGGAGTGCAAGTGATGCATGTCTAGAGAGCCTGTTACCCTGTTACCCTAAAACCCCCTCACTCTCTCACTCTCTCCTCCTCTCCTCCCCTCTGTAACAAATGGGCTGACAGACACTCTTGCATTCACCTACACGGCCGTCTTCACCAAAACGGGCTACTACAAAGTGGAGTGCGGGCGATTAGTAAGTGCCTAGAGGCCTGTAACACTCCCTTACTCCCTTTTACTCTCCCTCCCATCTCCCCACTATCTCCCCTTCCGTAACAGATGGCCCCTCGGATGCTCCTGCATTCACCTACACGGCTGTCTTCACTCAAACTGGCTCCTACAAAGTGGAGTGCGGGCGGTTTGGGGCCGATATGACTGCGACAATACATGTTGTGGATGATAGCGAGGATGACTCTAGTGAGTATGCAGCTGTTGGTGTGAGTGACCCGTGGATGTGTTGCTGATATAAAGTACCTTTTGCAGATAAAATGTACCACTTGTTTGTACAAACTTATGTTATGCTGTGTTATAATAAGACTTGTTTGTAGCGAGTACCATGTGCGTACTGACACAACTGCCCTGACGAGAGGTTTTACTAGCCCCTCTGTCCTTCCCCCCCCTGCCTGCCCCTATCTCCCAGCTTTTCTCGTCGACCCGTTCTTCGATGCCAACACCAACACCACCAACGCCACAGCCAACCTTCCATGAAACCCCACTTCTCTTCTCTCACCTTACTTCCTCCCCTGCCCCTTCCTCCCCCCCCCCCCCCAGCTTTTCTCCTCGACCCATTCTTTGATGCCAACACCAACACCACCAACAACACCACAACCCCACCAATCTCTCCACTCACCTCCTCCTGCTACCCTGGCTGCTCCTTTGGCAATCTAGCCGACGGCCGCTGCGACCCCCTCTGCAACAACCACCACTGCGCGTTCGACGGCGGGGACTGCTCTGCAAGTGAGCCACTCTGGGATGCGAGGTCTCAACAAGCCTTTCTGTCCTTCCTCCCCCTTCCCCTGTCCCCCAGCTTTCCTCCTCGACCCGTTCTTTGATGCAAACACTACCACCAACCCCGGAACCCCGCTTCTCTCCCCGCTCACCTCCTCCTGCTACCCCGGCTGTTCCTTCGGCAATCTAGCCGACGGCCGCTGCGACCCCCTCTGCAACAACCACCACTGCGCCTTCGACGGGGGCGACTGCGAGTGCGCCACTCTAGCTGGCAGCGGGGGGGGAGTGGGGGGGGAGTGTCCGTGCCCTGCAGGGCAGACCAGGTCGGAGGCAGGCTCGTGTTGTCCCACCGATGCTGTGGGTACGAACCTGCTGTTCCCGTTCCAGCTTCGCTCGTTCGGCCCGGATGCACATGCGAGCAACACACAGTTCTCAGAGCTTTATGAGAAGCCGCTGCACCGACACGTGACTGAGAGGAACAGGTGGGTTGGGAAGTTATGTCTGGGGCGGGGAGGATGGGGAAGTGGAAGGGTTGGTGGGGGAGTGGGGGGGGAGTGTCCGTGCCCTGCAGAGCAGACCAGGTCGGAGGCAGGTTCGTGTTGCCCCACCGATGCTGTGGGTACGAACCTGCTATTCCCGTTCCAGCTGCGCTCGTTCGGGCCGGACGCACATGCCAACAACACGCAGTTCTAGGAGCTGTATGAGAAGCCGCTGCACCGGCATGTGACTGAGAGGAACAGGTTCGTGCAAAAGAGACGGGACAAGGGAGGGGAATTGGTGGGTTGATACGCATGCGAGCAACACGCAGTTTTCAGAGCTCTATGAGAAGCCGCTGCACCGACATGTGACCGAGAGGAACAGGTAAGTTGAAAATTTATGTTGGTGGGAGAGAGGGAGGGAGGGGGGGGGGGGTGGGGAGGGTTGAGGATTGGGAGGGAGTGAGGAGGAGCGAGGAAAGAAACGACGGGGTCGGCGGGTTCTGTTTTAGCATTCGGCGCAGGCTCTGGTGAACCTGCTGCTTCCGCTCCTCCAGCTGCGCTCGCTTTGAGTCGACTCAAAAGCGGTCTCTGGTGAACCTGCTGCTTCCGTTCCTCCAGCTGCACTTGTTCCGGCCGGCCGCGCATGCGAGCAATATCCCTTTCACCCCCGATGTAGGTTGCTAGTGGGCCTCTTATGTGCTTCAGACCCGCTGGGGCTCCTGCAAGTTTCCCCAACCCCACCCACTCTCACTCACCCGTTCTTACCCCCTCTTTCCCAATGCAGGTTGCTAGTGGGCCTTTATGTGCTACAGACCCGCTGGGGCTCCCGCGAGTGCCAATCCAAGAAGTAAGTGCCGCACACGGGTAGCGCAGTAAATGCCAAATTAAGAAGTGCCACACATGGGTGGCGCAGTAAATGCCAATCCAAGAAATGCTACACACGGAACCACATTGTGACATTCTGTTCTCCTTGTCAACTCTTCTGGACCCCTCCAGGTCTGCAAGCATCTAACCACACAGTTTGACCTGTCACACGTTGCCAGCCTCACCTCCTTCCGCATCAGGTTTTATGATGCTCTCTGTACCACATGCACTGCACCGCATCTCACCGCTCTGTTCTCATGTGTTACACCTCCCCTCTTCCCTCTCCCCTCTTCCCTTTACTCCCAGGTTTGCAAACATCTGGCTGAATTGCCTCACAAACGCCACCAGCCTGATCTCCTTCGGCATCAACCCGCGCTTCCTCTCCACCTCTGACCTTTACGACCCCATCGTTTCCTCCTGTGTCACGCAGTATCACACTGCACCGCTCTGTGCCCATATGCTGACCATACTCCTCTCCCCTCTGCTCTGCCCTCCCCACTCCCTTCCCAGGTTCGCAAGCATCTGGCCGCACTGCCTGACAAACGCCACCAGCCTCACGTCCTTCGGCATCAACCCGCGCTTCCTCTCCACCTCTGACCTCTACGACCCCATTGTGACCGCCGCCAACCAGACAGGCCTTGAGAATTCCACCCTCAGCTCTGCTCCTCTCTTCAACGACGAAGGGCTCCCTTATGGCTTCGTTCCCCCCATGGTGAGTTGGTGGTAGGTCAAGGTTGGGTAAAGGTCGGGTCAAATCCCCTCCCTTCCCCACCCATGCACCCCATTCCTCCTGCCCCTCCACTCTCCCCCGTTTTCCTTTCCCCTCCTCCTTCCCATTGCCTCCCTCGCTCACTCTCTTTTCCACCATCCATATCAATCCCTCACCCCAGGACAGCCGTGAGTGAGTCCTATCAGCTCATTATCGTTATGAATCTGCACCGAGTGGCCGCCACCAAGCGCCTTTGCACATGCAGCACTGTGTTTTCCCCCTCTCCCTAAACCCGCTCCCCACACCCTCCTCCCCCCACCCCAATCCGTCCTTCCAGGACGGGCTTGAGTCCTATCCGCTGATATTCGACATCAATCTGCACCGAGTGGCGGCCACCAAGCGACTGCAGTACCTGGTGGACGGATTCTATTTCGACAACCTCACCAAGTCCATTGAGTTTGCGCTCATCACTTATAACGCGGATGTCAACATGTTTGTCCTCTCCAAGGTGCGTCACTCACGCTGGTTGGCTTTTGAGGCAGCCCAAAATTCAACCTCGCAAAGTCTATAACGCGGATGTCAACATGTGTGTGTGTGTTCTCCAAGGTGCGTCGAAAGTGCAAGACCCTGAAGGAGGCAAAACTGATGTTTGGGCATGCACATCGAGAGGGATGTCAGTAATGGATGGGTGAAGCTGCATCAGGATAAGTACATCAAGAACATGGAAAAAAAGTATAAGACTGAAGTCGTGATGAAGGTTTTGTAACACCCCTCCCATCCGATCCGAATTCAAGCTCATCAAGGCTGGTGAGAACGAAGGGGTGGACCAGAGAGAACAAGCTCGTTTTCAATCTGTGGTGGGGAGCTTGCTCTATGCAGCAGTGCACACTCGGCCTGGCGTCGCATTTGTTGTGGTGCAGTTGGCCAGGGTGGGGCAGTTGGCCAGGGTGGGGCAGTTGGCTAGGGTGGGGCAGAATCCCACCGAGGAGCAGGTGGATGCAACTGATCGTATAGTATAGTACCTAAACTCTTACCCCACTCTTGGAGTTCAATACTCTGCTGTGGTTCAAAAGAAGCATAAGGGAACAAAGGTTCCAGTTGACCCGTTAAATGTACATTCCTTTGTTTGCTGATGTGTGTATCCATGTGCTTGCCTTAAACATTTCCATGTACTTCCAATTCATCCCATATTCGTCCTTTTTTCCCCTCTCCTTCTCCTCTTTCTCTCCCAGATCCGCATGGAGGTGGATGTTGGGGGCAAGCTGGGTTACTCGTCGTACCGGCTGGTGCCAATCCCAGTGGAGCCGTACTCGTCCGCATCCTCCTACGCTCATATGGTCCTCGAGATCATCTACGTGGTGTGCGTCGCCTACAACCTGCTGGAGGAGGTCAACAAGATTCCATAATTAGGAATCCAAACTCAGACCACCCTGCCCCCTCCCTTCCCCTCCTCGTCCCGTTCCCCGTCTCGCTGATCAGATCCGCATAGAGGTGGACGTGGGAGGGAAACTAGGCTACTCCTACCGCCTCGTGCCAATCCCAGTGGAGCCGTACTCATCCGCGTCCTCCTACGCTCAGATGGTCCTCGAGATCATCTACGTGGTGTGCGTGGCCTGGGTGGAGGGGGGGGGGGGGGGGGTGGTCACTACAACCCCCCTCTTCCCTGAAACCTCTGTGTCTCGTTCCCTGAAAGAAGGAGTGTTTTGAGACGTCTCAAAACACTCCTCCGCAGCCCACCTGTTTACTAATAATGAAACCTCTTACTCTCTTTCCCTGACCTTTTTCTGTTCCCTCCTTGTCCCGTATCCCTTCCTGATAATCAGATCCACATAGAGGTGGACGTTGGGGGCAAGCTGGGTTACTCCTACCGGCTGGTGCCAATCCCAGTGGAGCCCTACTCGTCCGCGTCCTCCTACGCTCAGATGGTCCTCGAGATCATCTACGTGGTGTGTGTCGCATACAACCTGCTGGAGGAGGTGAACGAGATGTTCCAGACTTATCGCCACTCGGGCAGCTTCCTCCATCATTTTCGCCAGTTTGGCAACTGGATTGACCTGCTCTCGCTCTCCATTCAAGTCTGGGGTATTGTTGTCTGGTGAGTCCTTCCCTGCTGTGCCCTGCAGTGCGGTTCTGTGCCGTTTTTTGGGGTTCTGTGCGGTGCTGTGTGGAGTGGAGAGTGGGTGCTGTGCGGTTCTGTGTGGCGTACAACCTGCTGGAGGAGGTCAACGAGATGTTCCAGACATACCGCCACTCGGGGAGTTTTTTTCACCACTTCCGCCAGTTTGGCAATTAAATCGACCTGCTCTCGCTCTCCATTCAAATCTGGGGCATCGTTATTTGGTGCGTGCCTGCTCTCCTGCTCTGTGTTGCTTTGTGGTGCTATGCGGTGCTATGCGGTGCTGTGTGGCCTACAACCTGCTCGAGGAGGTGAACGAGATGTTCCGGACCTAGCCCCACTCGTGCAGCTTCTTGCATCACTTTTGCCAGTCTAGCAACTGGATTGACCTGCTCTCGCTCTCCATCCAGGTCTGGGGCATCGTCTTCTGGTGAGTGTTTGTTTGTGGTGCAGTGCGGTGCTGCTTGGATTGGAGAGTGGGTGATGTGCGGTAATGTGTGTCTACAACCTGTTGGAGGAGGTGAACGGAACGAGATGACCCAGCCCAGGCGTGCCGCTACACGGGCGACTTCTTTCACCACTTTATATCAATCAGACGATTGAGTAACACACTTACACTTAGTACCATTCATAAGGTTAAGTAACACACCTATATTTACTACCAGCCATAAAGATAAGTAGCGCAGATGTACTTCGTACCAATCATAATGGTAAGAAGCACACTTGTATTTAGTACTAATAATATGTTTTAAGTAGCGCACTTACACTTGGTACAAATGATAAGGATAAGTAACACACATACACTTAGTACCAATGATAAGGTTAAGTAACGCACAAGCACTTTGTATGAATCATAAGGTTTGGTAACGCAGTTATTCTTGCTACCAAATCATAACGTTAAGTAACGCTCATACGCTTGAGACTAGACATAATGTTAAGTAGTGTAATTTTACAAAGTAGTAATCATAATAGTTAAGTGACGCACTTACTTACTCTTAGTACCAGTCATAAGGTTAAGTAATGCACGTATACATACTACAAATCATAACTTAAGTGACGCACTTACAGTTAGTACCGGTCATAAGGTTAATAAGTAATGCATTTACATTTATTACAAAGCATAAGGTTAAGTAACGCACTTACATTAGTACCAATCATTAGGTTAAGTAACGCACTTACGCTTAGTACCAATCATCAGCGTGCGCTACAAAGTGTACACCTCTCTTGCTCTTTCTCTGTCAGCCTCTCATAAACATCCCCTTCTCCCTCTTCCCTTCCTTCCTCTCAGGATCATCATGGTACAGCAGCTCTCGCCCCTCTCTGGCATCAGCGTGCGCTACAACGTGCACACGTCCCTCGACAACACGACAGCCCAGTTCTGGGCCATCAACACAACCCCTTCCTCCCCCATCCTCTCCCCTCTACTCTTCATCTGCCATCCTCACCACCTATCAGGATCATCATGGTACAGCAGCTCTCGCCCCTCTCTGGCATCAGCGTGCGCTACAACGTGCACACCTCCCTCACTCTGTCGCTGTCACCCTCACAGACACACCCCCATCTCCCCTTCTTCCCTTTTCTCCTCTCAGGATCATCATGGTGCAGCAGCTCTCGCCTCTCTCCGACATCAGCGTGCGCTACAACGTGTACACATCCCTCGACGACACGACATCGCAATTCTGGGCGGTCAACACAACGAATGGCGGCTTTGAGAGGGCGATGCAGGTGTATCGCACCATGGATGACAGCATTCAGCTGCGCTCCTTCTACTTTGCTATCCAAGGAATCAAGTGAGTCACGACACACACACCCAACACCACACACAGGTCAGGTGAGAGCGGTGCAGTGCGGTTTTGTGTGGCGAATCCGGTGCGGCATCATGGTGCTTTGAGAGGGCGATGCAGGTGTATCGCACCATGGATGACATCATTCAGCTGCGCTCCTTCTACTTTGCTATCCAAGGAATCAAGTAAGTCTCCACATTCAAGGCCACATTCAAGGCAGGTGAGCGAGGTGCAGTGCGGTTCTGGGTGGTAAGTGCAGTGCGGCATCTGGCGGCTTTGAGAGGGCGATGCAGGTGTATCGCACCATGGATGACATCATTCAACTGCGCTCCTTCTACTTTGCCATCCAAGGAATCAAGTAAGTCGCCCCACTAAAAACCACACACACACACAGGGCAGGTGAGAAAGGGAGGTGCGGTGCGGTTCTTTGCGGTTCCGAGCGGTGAATGGCGGCTTTGAGAGGGCGATGCAGGTGCACCATGGATGACATCATTCAGCTTTGCTTTTCAAGGCATGTGTGTGCCATGTGCACCATGTGTGCCATGTGCACCATGTGCGCCACACGTCATCCTCCTCCCCAGTCCCCTCCTCCCTGCCCAGTCTCACTCTCTCCATACTCCCCACTCCCCACGGGCCCCCCCTCTCCAGTGTGTTCCTAATGGTGCAGCGCCTGCTCAAGCTGATGGACTTCCAACCCCGCATCGGCATAATCACGCGCACCATGGCAGCAGCGCTGCCGGCCATCCTGCACTTCTTCCTCGTCTTCGGAATCATCTTCCTCGGATTCTCCTTCTATGGCTACCTCGTCTTCGGCCGAACGCTCGCGCAGTTCCGCACCATCCCCAACGCCATGCTCTCCTGCTTCTTCATGCTCATTCAAGACAACTCCACCGCGTATTACTACGCGATGCTGGAGGGTTGGGAGCGGTTGGCGGCGTTTGTCTTCTGGCTGTCGTTTATTGTCATCATGGTGTTTATTCTGATGAATGTCGTGATTGCTATAGTGGTCGATGCGTTCATGGATGTTAAGGAGGCGGCTCAGGAGGAGACGGCACTGCCGATTGATATCTGGATTCTGCTGCGGAACCTCTGGCAGCGGATATGCATGCCGTACTGGAGTCTGAGGAAGCTGAGGCACCACCTGCTGTTCCTGGGAACGCACGAGAAGACCCGAGAGGAGGTGAGTGTGTGTGTGTGTGAGGAGGGATGGGGGAGGAGGGAGCGGGCGGACGCCGTATTGGAGTCTGAGGAAGCTGAGGCACCACCTGCTGTTCCTGGGAACGCACGAGAAGACCCGAGAGGAGGTGAGGAGACCCGAGAGGAGGTGAGGAGACCCGAGAGGAGGTGAGGAGACCCGAGAGGAGGTGAGGAGACCTGAGAGGAGGTGAGGAGACCCGAGAGGAGGTGAGAAGACCCGAGAGGAGGTGAGAAGACTCGAGAGGAGGTGAGACGACTCGAGAGGAGCTGATAGGTTGGGATGGGAGCTGGTGGTTGGGAAGATTCGAAAGGGGTGTGTCATGTCTAAGCAGGAGCGCGAGACACTGAGGCTGCCACTTCCCATGCTGCAATCCCTGCCCCATGCCCCACCGATGCCCAATCCATGCCCCAACCATTCTCTCCCTTACCCCTCTTCCTGCACCTCCTGCTGCTTTCAACACAGGAGGAGGCACTACCAACGCAGCGCAAGTTGGCACTTGCAGAGGTGGCGGGAATGACTCGAAAGAGCTGCTTCATGTCTCAGCAGGAGTGCGAGACACTGCGAAGAGCACTCCCGATGCCGCTGCAATGCAATCCCCACCTATGCCCTCCTCTTCCCTCCCTTTGCCCCCTCCCCCACTTGCATATACTGCAGGAGGAGGCACTAGCAACGCAGCGCAAGTCAGCACTCGCAGAGGTGGCGGGGATGGTGCGAAAGGGGTGCTTCATGTCCAAGCAGGAGCGCGAGACACTGCGGCGGATCCACCAGACAAAGAGGGTGGTGGACGTGGGAATTGACAAGATGGACATAATGTCTCTTTACGCTCTTATGAACCGCACCTACGAACGCAAGGTGAGCTTGTGTTGAGTGTGGTTGAGTGCGGTTGAGTGTGATTGAGTGCGGTTAAGTGCGGTTGAGTGCGGTTAAGTGCAGTTGAGTGCAATTGACCAGTCTGCTGCTGATTCACCAGACAAAGAGGGTGGTGGACGTGGGAATTGACAAGATGGACATAATGTCTCTTTACGCTCTTATGAATCGCACCTAAGAACGCAAGGTGAGCTTGAGTTGAGTGTGGTTGAGTGCGGTTGAGTGCGGTTGAGCGCAATTGACCAGTCTGCTGCTGATTCACCTGACGAAGAGGGTGGTGGACGTGGGGATTGACAAGATGGACATTATGTCGCTCTATGCCCTCATGAACCGCACATACGAGCGAAAGGTCGGTTGATTGCGGTTAAATTCGGTTGGCTTGGGTTTTTGTGGTGTTTGGCTCGGTACGATTTGGTTGTTTAGACTAAGAAGGTACTATATTGCACCAGTGTTCCACCAGACGAGGGTGATTGATGTGGGCAATAACAAGACGGATATGACGTCGCTGCCCTCATGAACTGCACGTATGATCGCAAGATGAGCTTCGGTTGAGTGCGGTACACTGGGGTTGAGTTGACTGGGGTTTGCTGGCATCTGAAAAGTTCTGCTGCTGGCTTGTGGGCGTCGATGCATGGACACTCGTTGGGTGATGCTCAATGCTCGTAGAGGCCATCTGAAGGGGGAGATGGCGTTGGGTGATGCTCTATTCACTTATGCTCTACGCTCATACAGGCCATCTGAGGACTCTATTCACTTATGAACCGTTTCAAGGCCAGCATATCCCCTCCCCTTCCCTCCCACCATCTCCCCCTTCAGATGGCCTCTATGAGCCGTTCCAAGGCCAGCAAATCCCATCAGGTCGGTCGACCCGGTCACCATAGCCGAATCAGTCATGGGGCAGTTCGGGGAGGACGTGGAGGTAGCACTCTTAGGAGAGAAGCCCAAGAAGGGCAAGAGCGGGGAGATGTCTCACATCAAGCGGTCTCTACAGAGGCTGGAGGGAGATGCGTTGCACCCAGGCACCAACTCAATCCCAATAAACCTCTTCCCCCTCTCCTCCTCTCCCCCCTCTCCTCTCCTCCCTCTCTCCTCCCCTCTCCCATTCTTCCCCTCTCCCCCCACAGATGGCCCCTATGAGTCCCACCAAGGCAAGCCAGTCCCATCAAGCCAACCGTCTAACAAACCCATTCTCCTGACAACTTGTCCGTTTCCTCCCCTCCCTCCTCTCCCCTCCTCCTCCACAGATGGCCTCGATGAGTCCCACCAAGGCAGCCAGCAAGGCCCATCAGGTCGACCCGGTAACCATAGCCGAATCAGTCATGGGGCAATTCGGGGAGGACGTGGAAGTAGCTCTCTTAGGAGAAAAGCCCAAGAAGGGCAAGAGTGGGGAAATGTCTCACATCAAACGATCCCTACAGAGATTAGAGGAGAATGCGGATGAGACTGCATACGTGCTGCTGCAGGTGCAAGAGTCGTTGGAGAAAATGAGGCAGGAGCAGGAGGAGATGCAGCAGCAGCAGCAGCTGATGCTGCTAAGAGGGTCTGGGAAGGAGAGGCGGCCAGAGTTGGGGTTGGCGAGGGGGGACCGGCAGTGGAGTAGGGTCAGGAGGCGGTTTGAGGATGATGATGATGGTGATGATGATGATGCTGATGTTTCTGCTGCTGCTGCTTTGCGCGGTTGGGGCGGCGGGAGCAGCAATCGCGGTGGTTTTGGCGGTGCTGCTGCCAGTGCTGCTGCAGGTGACTCTTCTGGTTCTGGTGCTGGTGCTGGTGCTGCTGGTGATGCTGCTGGCACTGCTGATACTGCTGTCAGTGGGTCTACCAAGGGTATAACTCACTCCTCCAGTGCAAGCGAGGCAACCCTAACCGCCATAACCAGGCAATTTCCTCGATCTATTTCGGGCATGAAAGGAAGCCTCTCCTTTGAGCAGCTCGCTCCCACCTCCCACACACGCACCCCCACGCTCCACACCAACAGCCTGCCGAGTCCCATCATACCTGGGTTTATGAGCAGGAGGAGGACAGACAGTGCGTTGCTTCCCGGCAGGCAGCACACTCACGTGGCGGGTCTTACTGGTGGGTTGAGCTTCAGTGATGGTATGCGAGGGGGAGGTGGAGGAGGGGGAGGTGGGGGAGGGGGAGGTGGGGGAGGGAGAGGGGGAGGGGAGGGGATAGGTGGACTGAGTCCTATTGCGAGTGTCGCCAGTGGGTATACGGGGATCATGGGGAATGGGGGGATGATGAGTCCGGTAGGGTCTCATAGCATGGGGGCGGGGTGGGCAGGGCATGGGGCAGCATCGGGCAGAATGGGAGGGGAGTTTGGGAATCCGGGCAGTTCTGGAAACCCAGGTAGGCAGAGGCGGGCCCGAACGGCCCATATGAAGTCCTTTGGAGGAGATGAGCCAAGTATTCTTGATGCTGTGGCTAAGCTTGGTGGGGGGTTGGGGCGGATGGGCGGCGAGGATGTGGGGAACACGAGCGGGCGGCACCGGCCGGCTAGTTTCAGCAGCATGCCGAGAGGGGCGGCGGAGGATATGGGCATGAGAAGGAAAATGGTGGATTTCCCTTCTATGGGAGGAGGGATTGGTGGGGGTTGGGGAATGGGTGGTGAGGATGTGGGGAATATCAGCGGGCGGCGAAAAGCGTTAGAGTATGGGTCAATGAGACGAGGAATGCCGGGCGGCGGTATGGCCGGAGCGGGAATGGCGTCTCCTTACCGGGGCGGCGGGTTCTTAGGCTCGGGAACGGCTGGGTTTGCTCAGCCTCGGTCGATAATGCCAGATGGTGGGTTTGGAAACCGCAAGTTCGGGGAAGGCATGGGGGCGGGAAGTAGGAGGATGGTGGGAGGGGAGAAGCAAGGGAGTAGGGCTTCGGCCTTGCTGGCAGAGCTTCAGGCTGCCCGGGCGGCGGGAGGGGCGGGGAGTTGGACAAGGATTCATGAAGGGGAGGTGAAGAGAGTGCAGGTGAAAGGACTGCTGCAAAGAGAGGGCGGTGGCGATCTGTGAAAAGGGCTAATACTTCTAGTTTAGACATTCTCTTAGGACTTATGGATGAGTGCTTCAGAAGAGGTTGGAAGGGTACTAGCATTGTCTGCATTTATTTATTTTAGAACTAGTATATTTATTAAAGGCTTTACTGATGATTCAGGTGTCTCAAAACATAGAGGACATCAGGAGAACAATATGATTAAAAGAATGGTATTCCGCTCTTGTCTCTAAGGGGCCTTTATTACATTAACCAACTTGATGGCACATATTCATGTCGCTCATTCTATGGATAGATGCTCCTTCTCGATCTCTGTTGTTGCGTCGACTCTGCGAATAAAGCGTATCCGGCGGAGCTTGTTTTGGGATCTTCCCTTTTCGGTTTCTGTACTTCCAGCGAGTACTGCAGTCCAAGGAGGTCCTCGGCTCGCGTTGAGAAATTGGTATTTTTCAACCGTAGCTTTTCCACGGATCCGCTTACTCCTGTATAGGAGATCTATCCGTAGCCTCTTTGCTCGTTCATCTGTCGTAATTCTCGGGTGGAACAGAGCCGAAATTCCAGCCAGGGAAATCAGGCTTCGACCGTAGCTCTTCTGCCAGGCCCGGGTCGTAGATTTTGTTTTTCTCTTTTCGTCGTCGCATCAGTGGCTTTGTCGCCATGTCGAGACGCTATGACAGTCGCACGACGACGTTTTCGCCGGAAGGCCGGCTGTTCCAGGTGCGATCAGGGTGTGCGATTGCTAGGCCGACCCAGAGGTTGTTCCTGGTGCGATGATAGTGAGAGTAAGTGGTCTCCGAGGTGACTTTTGAGTCGACTCAAAAGTCACCTAGTAATTGGTCTCCGTCAGTCGAGTTTGAGTTTGAGTGCGATCAGGGTGTGCGATTGCTGGGCCGACCCAGAGGTTGTTCTTGGTGCGACTCTGTTTTTTTAGAATTCTCAAAAAGCAGGTTCAGTTACCTAAGCCAACTCATAGATTGTTCCTGGTGCGATGTCCGTGAGTCTAAGTGGTTCTTTTTAGACTAGTTTCAGTCGGCGGTTGAGTCAACTTGAGTCGAATTTCTTCCGCAACAGACGGAGTAGTGCTGGCGGCGGAGAAGCGCATCACGCCGAAGCTGCTCAAGGGCAGCAACACTGATCCCCCTCCTCCTTCTCGCGTTTCCTCTCCCTCTTTTCCTTTCCCACTCCGTACCTCCCCGCCTCTATCCACCTTCTCTTCCTCACTCCGCTTCTCTCACGCATTCTCATGGTTCTTCCCCCCCCCCCCCCCCCCCCCCCCCGCTCCCCCAACCCCTTCCCACCCCTTGCCACCCCTTTCCACCCCTTCCCACCCCTTGCCACCGCTTCCCACCGCTTCCCACCAGGTGGAGTACGCGATGGAGGCCATCAGCCACGCAGGGTCCGCCATAGGCATTCTGGCGACGGACGGCGTGGTGCTGGCAGCGGAGAAGCGCATCACGTCGAAGCTGCTCCACACCCCTTCCCACCCCTTCCCGCCGCTTCCCACCCACCAGGTGGAGTATGCAATGGAGGCCATCAGCCATGCGGGGTCGGCCATAGGCATTCTGGCGACGGACGGCGTGGTGCTGGCAGCGGAGAAGCGCATCACGTCGAAGCTGCTGGAGAGCAGCAAGACGAACGAGAAGATGTATCGAATTGATGACCACGTCGCTGCTGCTGTTGCTGGGATCACCGCCGACGCCAATATCCTCGTCAATTCCGCTCGGCTGGCCGCCCAGCGCTACACATACGCCTATCAGGTGCGTTTGTCGCGCGTATGAGTGGAGAGATTACCATGTAGGCCCACAAACAACCGAGCTCTCATTTTCTTTCGTTCTCTCTCCACCGCTTCCCTACTATTCGCCCTTCCCGGTTCCTGCAGAAGCCCATTCAGGTAAAGCGGCTGTTGCAACTCCTGTGCGACATTCAGCACTTCTACATCTGAACCATCCTCTTTCACCACCCTTCTGCCCTCCGCCTGGCTTATGCAGGAGCCTGTTCCCATGGAGCAGCTGGTGCAGTCCCTGTGCGACACCAAGCAGGGCTACTTCTGAGTTCTCATTCCCTTGTGTTCTTCCCTCTGCTTCCTCGTCTGCCCCCTTTCGGCTCTCCTCCTCCCGCGTGCAGGAGCCTATTCCCATGGAGCAGCTGGTACAGTCTCTCTGCGACACCAAGCATGGCTACGTTTCTCTTTTGTTCCATTCCCCTCTGCTTCCTATTTGGCTCCCCTCCTCCTCCTGCGAGCAGGAGCCTATTCCCATGGAGCAGCTGGTGCAGTCCCTGTGCGACACCAAGCAGGGCTACACGCAGTTTGGTGGTCTGCGTCCGTTTGGCGTCTCCTTCCTCTTTGCAGGTGCGCCTCCTCCTCGGTGTCTCTTTCTGTGAGGTGGGGTTTGATTGGTTCGTTATAAGTTGCACTGCAGTTGTTAAGTCGAGGTGCAGCTCAACTGCTTAATAATAAGGTCCGAGTGCATCTTTGTCTGGAAGGTGGCCTTCTCGTGCATCTTTGCTGTAAGAATTATTCTCCCTGACTTTGTTATATTCCCTTTCAAAACTTTCCTTCTTCCAGGGTGGGACAAGCATCATCAGTTCCAGCTGTACCACTCAGATCCCTCAGGGAACTATGGCGGGTGGCGGGCGTGTGCCATAGGAGCCAATCACGGTGCAGCACAGTCGCTGCTGAAGCAAGAGTACAAGGAGGAGAAGGGGCCGGGAGGGGAGGCGATTCCAGGGATGGACCTGGAAGGAGCAGTGCAGCTGGCGCTGAAGGTGCTGAGTAAGACCATGGACAGCACGAGCCTGAGTGCAGAGAAGATTGAACTGGCTAAAGTGTGCCTCGAGGATGGCCAAGTCAGGTGAGATGGCCTGATGAATGTGGATGAGGGGGAATTGAGGGTGGTCAGGTGGGAGGGGCATCAGGAGAAGATTGAGCTGGCTGAAGTGTGCCTCGAGGATGGACAAGTCAGGTGAGTTTGCCTGAGGTGTGGGGGGATGAGTGGGGCTACAGGTTTATTAGATGTGGAGAGGAGGGCTGAACCATGAGGGGGAGGGGGTATGGTTTTCTATCTTCTCGTAATTGTCCTGACGGTGCCTTGTCTGAGTTGAATGTGAGTGTGTGCAGGTACCGTGTGTTTGGGGCAAAGGAGATTGATGAGTTGCTTCTGAAGTATGAAATGGCTCAACCCAAGGAGGAGAGATGAGCATAGGGGAATTGTGCAAGAGGAGTTTTTGCTGGGTAGCTTGGTGTGTTTCATGCACACCTGTGGCAAAGCTGCGATCCTAAGGCACATTATGTTGAAATGACGGTACTGAAATCTTTATAAAATTTTAGGCGCTGCCAAATTGTATACCACTCCTGTACCATATCTGCATGTCAACTAACATCAGAAATTTCGAAGCGAACATCACTCGCAGGCCTTGACTTGTGTCATTATGGCCAATACAGGTGATCTGCAATATCTCTACTGCGTCTGCTTGCCAAGAATATACACAGAGCTGCATCGAGCAGTCCCAGAGTAGTTACAAATGGTTTGGCATCCCATCCCGCTATTCTCACGAGTCCATATGGCTGTCGTAGCACTTGACATAGTCCTCTGCTCATACTTTGTCTTCTGACATTCTTGGGCTCGAGTGGGCCTTCACCTGTTCAGCCCTTTCTGCTTGTTGAGCATTCTTCGCCTTGTACTTGGCATAGGTGTACCACACTCCACCCACTGTGTTGACTGAAGAACCGGCTACAATAAGTGGAGTGGCCTTTACACCCCCAAGCACAAAGAATCCAATCGTCTGCAAAAGAAACAGAACACCAGGTCAGATACAAAACGGTGCCGAGAAGGACACTGAATAAACACACACGTTTGCGTCTCCTTCCACAGCTCATCATGAGGGGTACATACCGTGCCCAGGACGCTTCGCAGAGTTCCGACGATTGTGGTGGTGAGCGCGGAATTGGAAATTGTACAGAAGAAGAGAGAGTAGTTGAGCAGGACCCCAACCCCCAAAGACACCACAAAAAGAATCGCAAACCCTAGGCTATCTGAGCCATACGAGAGCTCAAACAGTCTTGGGATGGATCTTTGTGCTTCGCCTGTAATTAGGGTTAAGGCAGCGAGCACAGGAAATGACATGACGCCATTGTAAACCAACAGGTCGTTGGTCGTAAAACCTGGGGAAGCAAAGCCAACGTTGAAATAAAGTGCTTCAGTTAGGAATGACTTGGAAAGGCAGATTCAAGGCATGTCAACTTCACATGTAGGACTCACTCAATGCATACCTTTTTGCGAGCCTGATCGTTCAACAAGGATTAAATACGCTGTTTGAAGCATGCAGCTCACAATGGCCCATAGGTATCCTCGCGCATCAAAACTCAGGTCACCCGCTCCAGCAAGGAAGCAACCTGGCGAGACGATAATGTCACGTTAGTAAAAAAGAGAGTGGAAATATGAGATCATGCGCCCTGTGATCATGAGCCCTGTAAGTCCCAGAACTACAAACAAGAAACACAAGTACCTGAGACAACGGCGAGCACTGACATGCAGACCTCCAGGGGTGGGGAGCCATCTCCAATCAAGTATTTCGCGCAGAGGACCATGACAGGGGTCAGTCGCTTCAGCACGTGGTACACAGGGATGCTCAGAGCTTCCACAGCTGCCAATGCGAAGGCAACGTTCGCGTTGTAAAAGAACACGACCCCGGAAAGCGATCTTGCCGAACCCCAATCAAATGGTTTGACTTCAATCAGGCCAACGCAGCCCAGGGAGTACACGATCACCACAGATGCGGCCATTTGGAGCATGAGGAGAGAGTTTGAATACGGCCATTGCATCAAAACAGCCTGCAATGTCAACCGATCAACGCATTCAGTTCGAATCCTGGTATGGATGGTTGTTTCTGAAGCGTGATACTGTGATCAGACGCCTACTACTGGTAAAGAGCCTGAAAGCCTCGTACCTTGTTGATGAAACCCATGGCGAGTCCCACGAAACAATAAAGGAGAGCGGAGAATATGGAGTTGAACATAGGGACGGGGGTACGCCTGGATGCCGAAGCTTTTGCATCTGTTGATGATTCAAGCTCGGCTATCGAGGACGGGCGAGGTATAGAATCTCGTTCTTTCACCGGGATTAGAGCCTCCAAACTAATGTCTTCGGGTTTTGGAAATAAATATCGTAACAACAGAATATCAGCTCCTTTGTACAGTCCTGCAGGTGAAATGGTTCCGAGATATTAGTTCTCCTTCTCTAAGCCCGCGTTTCGTCAAGAAAGTTGTTCTAGCTGCAAGAACTCGATTATTCACCTTGAAATGCGTCACTTGATGTCTTCAAAGAGCCTTTTCTTTCTGGAGCCATAATATCTCAGACACCTTGTGTCTGTGGCTTCCTGCAACCGCCTCCTTCTAAAGGTATAGTGACTCTAAACAACAACAGAGAACTAGCTTCGTTGCGACTACTTCAAGAACGCGCATTAGTGCCAGGCATCAAGAATCCCCTCTACGACAGGCAGCGCTGCGACTAAAGCGCATTAGGGTCAGGAACCAAGAAATCCCTTCAAGGCAGGAAGCTATTAGAACTACGAAGTGTATGTGCGTCTCACAACAAACAGCTAAACTTTGTAGCAACAACTACCATTTCTGATCCTAAATCCTAGGCAGAGACTCGTGCGTGGAAGGAAATGTTTGGGTGATTTAGGAGGAGCTCCATCCACACATGTACAAAACAAAACACAACTGACCTAGTAGTCATCACAAATCAAAGCTGGCACTTCCCCCTCACTGGAGCAGATGTAGTCAACCGAAGTTGGACGCCAACAGTGATGCGAGCAATTTGTTACAATTTTATGCCTTGATGTCGCACTCGGGGAATATGGGAGGTGACTGCCCGGGGGAGGTTGAACGACGAGTGTATCAGGTGATTGCGAACTTGAAGGAATGGTTACAATCTGGTTGTTGGGAAAAGAACCAGCTCTGGTCTGTGCACAGCCGCATGTGTCTCGGGCGGGGCCATCCCATCAGGTTCCTCTGTGAGCCACCCTCCCCAACCAATCCACTGCCGGCTTTGTGCTGTAACAGAATGAAGGTCGGTCAAGCGGAATTTGTGTAACGGGAAGAGCATCAGTCAAGCATATTCAGGTTTCGCAGCCTGTAAAAAGATGTCGTCTCACACACGAAAAAACCCAGATTTCGCTGTTGGTTCCAAGCACAACCAACGCAATGACGGATGTTTCGGAACTGCGATGGACTGCCAAGCGGAGTCGCAGGTGTGATCCCAATTGCTGGGGATGAATGGGAACCTTCGAAAGAGACCCTCGTCAGCTTGCACAAGCAGCCTACAGTGCAGTTCTCTTGCTTTCCCAATCAGTTGGACCAGCTTGGATCGAGCATCATGGGCTTCAGGGGCGAATTGGGCCAGATGATGAAGTTGTTCATTTACGAATCACCTATGCCGAGACAGATTGAGGGGGTTTAGTGTTACTAGTACAGTAAGTAGAGCTTTTGCGAGTTACGAAATTGCACAAAGGAGCCTCGTCCCTGTGTGTTGTGATTTCATGCAAGCTCATCCGTTTCTCAAACAAGAAGCAGGCTTGCTCTAGGCACTCCCTAAAGTTGCCTTGCAGTCAATCAATCGCGTCCCGTGCAGTATTTTGTGGCGCACAAATCCATAAGGTCCTTGTCTGGCTGGGTCACTAACTTCAAAGAGCTTCTGAGAGGGCAGAATCGTCATAAAGATTCTTTCCTGGTTGGGGCCAAAGAGACATCTGAGGTCAGGATCGTCTGAGCAATAGTTTCTGAACTCTGGTGGCCGAAAACTGTTTTTGCCTTTTCCCACTAATACGATTCCATTAGATTACATCAATGCGTAACCGGCAATCGATTGCGATTTCTTTAGATTGCTGTAATGAGTGATTGTGTAAGACTGGCAAATCAGCGTGATATAGGACGGTAAAGTGCACCATTCAAACCAGGACGCGAAGTGATGTAAGACTCATGGAACGGGGAATATACGAATTTAAATAGCAAATCACAACCTTTCAATATTCATGTACAAAATGTTCAGAAGTAATCATTGAGCCATCAATCTTGTCCAAAATCAACTCATCAAAGTCAGCTGAAGTTGCGTCGAGAGCTTGGGGAAGAAAGCACGGGGCGGGAATCGAACATGGTCGACAGTCTGATGTTTGCGCGTTTGACGACATGGCAGGAAAGAGTTGTGAAACTTTCGAGAGAGACTCTACTTGTCCGTTTGGTTGAGCTTTCCCAAACCCTTGCAGCGCGGGCACACAATCCGGTTGTCGTCCTTCCGCGCAGCATTCGCATTCAGGACACGTGAGTTCCGAATGAAACCAGCTCCATCGCATTCTGGACAGAGATCCTTTCGCGAGAACAGGATGGGGAAGGCGGTACCGATAAGCGTGATGGCCACGGCTCCAGCAATCAGGTAAGTCGTTGCGTCTCCTGATACGTCACCAACGGCACACACCACGCGAGACCTTGACCGAGCGCCTTCAGTCGCCTTCACGAATGACGCCATCCGAGTCTTCTTGGAGACTATCCGGAGAGGCCCTAGTCCAGCACATGCTGGAAGAGGCCTCACCTGAACGTTTGCTGAAGACCTCACAAGGGAAGCTGACGGATGGGCGAGGGTAGCCATGCAGGTGGCAGCCATTGCTGAGGGATTAGCAAGCGAAGAATCAAGACACAAAGAAGAAAGCAACGCAAGCTTGGCTGAACCTGACGGCGGATGTCTAGAAATGCGATAATCAGGAAGCTGGACCAGGGATTACTTTATACTCGGCTCGGCAGGCTGGGATAATCAAGAAACGGGATTCTCAAGAAATTCGTATAGTTGCGTTGCGTTGTCTGCTGAATGGAGGAAGGTACTGATACAGTACTTCCGAGCTGACGTTGAATGGAGCAGTGTCAGCATTGGGTTCGACAATGGGCCTGCTTCAGTCCACATCGATGTGGATCGAAGCTGTCTGACATGGACCTTTATCAGCCAATGATAACATGGTGATGGTTTTGGGGCTCTCGTGGCCTACATCGATGTCACCGAGTGCTGATGATGCCACATTGTGCCTAGTCATACAATCGAATTTCCACGCTGGTTTACGTGCCAGCTGGGTCGAAACCCTGTGTTCGCGTGGCTGGCCAGTCTTCATTTGTCTCATCACGTGTCCTCGTTGTCAAGATTTCCATAATGAA